TACATATACACCAATCAGGCATAACATTCTGACCACCTCCTTGTTTCTATGCTCATTGTCCATTTTATCAGCTCCATTTACTATATTGGTGCACTTTGTAGTTCTACAGTTACAGACTGTAGTCCATCTGTTTCTCTGCATACTTTGTTAGCCCCCTGTTACCCTGTTCTTCAGTGGTCAGGACCCCCATGGACCCTCACAGAGCAGGTAGTATTTGGGTGGTGGATCATTCTCAGCACTGCAGTAACACTGACGCAATGTGGTGTGTTAGTGTGTGTTGTGCTGGTCTGAGTGGATCAGACACAGCAGTGCTGCTGGAGTTCTATTAGGCACTCCTACCTTGTCAGTCCACCTTGTAGATGTAAAGTCAGAGGCGATAGCTGATCTGCTGCTGTACAGTTTGTGTTGGTCATCCTCTAGTCCTACATCAGTGGTCACAGGACGCTGCGACGCTGCTAGTAAATGTGTTCAACGTAAGACAGAGAACTGAAGGATGGAAGAATTGAACCTATACCCCATCTCTCTCCATCTCACACAGAGCTAACTTTGTTGAAGATGAAGAGGAAGCAGAGCATTGTTGAATCAATCGAGTTTCAGAGCTTGAGAATGGAACAAAGCAGGCTTACAAAGGCGCATCAGTCTAAAAAGGATGATACAGGTAACTCATTACTGAATTATGAAAAAGAATTTACTCATTTTCTTAAACTACACATACCACCAAAGTGGTGCATCCAGAAACAGCATTAATCTTGTGTCAAATGATACACTATATAGCCAAAAGTATGTGGACACCCCTCCTAATTACTTCAGGTGTTATTCAAGTGTCATAGTTCAGGTGTTTCAGCCACACGCAATCTCCATAGACAAACACAGGCAGCAGAATGGGTCGTACTGAAGAGATCAGTGACTTTAAACGTGGCACTGTAATAGGACCCCGTCTTTGCCACTAGTCAATTTGTGAAATTTCAATTGTACATCAACTGTAAGTGCTATAATCGTGAAATGGAAGCATCTAGGAGCAACAAAAGCTCACACTCTGTAATGAATGGGGCTTGTAGGTAGGCTTCATGTGCAGAGTCACTGTATTAGTGGTAATCTAATACTTGTAGTCACAACAGGCAAGCATGTACATACAATGCAAATCCACAAGCAACAACCAACAAAGTGGGGATCAAACAGGAAAATATCAAAGCCAACCACAGTTCAGAGCTCAGTTTCGGCAACAGAGGCTTGGCAAGGCACAAGGCCAAATATTAGGGCATATTTAGGAGTGATAATGTCTAAAACTATCTGCACGTGTGTGTAATGAAGGAGGTGTGGAGCCAGGGAGGAGCAGGAGCTAGAACGAGCCATTCAAGACTGGGATAGTACAAATACAGTCTCCCAGAGGGTGGAGACGTTGTGACTGCCACAAAGCAGTAGACCACGCAAACTCACAGAGCAGGGCCTCTGAGTCCTGAAGCACCTGTCCTTTGTTCCATCACCTACTACAAGGTTCCAAACTTCCTCTGGAAGCAACATCAGCACAAGAACTGTACATCAGGAGCTTCATGAAATGGGTTGCACTGAGCTACCAGAGGCCCCATGAGTAGGGTTTTTATTTTGTTTTTCTTTTGTTTTTTGATGTGATCATAATATTTGCAGAAAAAAAAATGTCTAAAAAAGCAAAACAAAACAGGAAATGCACATAATACAAACTATAATTTATTTGTTTTTATTATTTATTTAATTCATTTGGATAATTTAGTTGTTTATTTTCCCTCTGTACTGTTAACATAGTGTTTATTAAGCTTTTTCTGACTTAAAATAGTGAAGTATTATTTGAAGAATTAATTGTTTTAAAAAATATGATGGGGGTGCCAAGAAGCAGTCGAATGCAAAAGTTTGAACACCCCTGGTCAAATGATGTCTTTTTTGATTTTCCAGGTAAAAATAAGTTAACGTCCTCTGCAGTGAACAAATTCAAATATGGCATATTTCTGCAAATTTAATATATTAGGGGAAAAAACAAACATCAAATATAAACTGTGCCATTACTTTTGAACAGTCCATATTTTATGTTTTAGGTTTTTCCCCCATTATGTTAAATTCAGCAAATACACAGTAATTGTACAATAAAATGTGCAGGAGTGCGTCTCTGTAGATGATGTGTTAAATTATTTTCACTTACGAAATCAACAAAACATGTAATTTGACGAGGTGTGCTCAAACTTTGTATATGACTGTGTGTCGCCTAAGCCCCAGGGTGAGTTCAGGGTGTTACACATTTACACTCTCTCTGTTTCTCTCGCTCTCTCCTTCTGGCCTCAACACTACCTGCCAATAGACAAGACTAGTGTGGATGTTCTGTGGCTTTTGACAGTTCTTGACCGACACTTTATCCTGGACTTCAGGCTGATGCTGGGTCTTACTAACATCTTCATCTTACCTGTAAGAAGAACTGCACAGCTGGACTCAGAGGAAGGACAGCTTCCCACCGAGGAGGATGCTTGTCAGTGCACTTAGAAAGTCCCGTAACACAATTTTACAATTCAAATGCCCCTTTAAATCTGGCTCTTTCTGGATTTTACAATTCCAGTGAGGCCTTTTCAGCCTTATTTCATGTAGACTCTGAAGACAGAAGACGGCGCTGCAGATCTGAGGAATGCTGAACACTACAGGACACGTATCTTATGCGTCCGCTGACCTGGCTGTACCACACGAAGACGGTGAAGGAGTGACCAATTCAACAGTAAACCTGCCACTTATTCCTGCTCTATGATCACTATAATCACAAACAGCAACTAAAATGTAAATAATAATAACTAAGATGAAATTCTCTAAATACTTTGTATTAATACCCGTTAAACAATGTGCTTTTTTTATTGTGTCATGGCTGTTAAAGCTTTGTCATGAACATATTAATTCTAATGTAAAAATGTAAAAATATCCATCTTTTTACAGGTTATTTCTTTGTATACTTGAGTTTATTTTTTCTATTTCTGGATGTCATCGTGGGTTTTCCGTATTTCTAAGCACATGTTGCATGCTGGGCAGTTGTACTATGACCTCATTGCTTGAGAGAGTCCAGAGCCAAAGTTCAAACATGTTGTTAATGACATGGTAACTATACGATAGTTATACTATACTCATGACATGATAGCACACTATATGATAGTTAGTATTAACTTGAGGCTAGAGTGTTGAACATTAGCTGAAGTTATAATAATTAAAAGTAGCTGTTAGCAGGTTACACACACACACACACACACACACACACACACACACACACACACACACACACGCACACACACACACGCAGCGTATGTTTTGTAGAGTTTCAGCTGTGAGTCGGTGTTGGACTTTTTTAGCAGAATGGGCTGTTACCCAGTGTTTCTATGAGCCACTCTGGCTATAACAAACTTTGTCGCTGTTACTACAGATCCATTCTTTCTTCCTGTTCATTATTTTCCTGTTTATGTTTAATAAAAAGTGACTCAGAGTGGAAGTTTCAGCGAGTTAAAGATTGCATCTGCTTTTTCATCCATAATAATCGACCTCACAATCACTACACTACTTTAATCTAACATTAAGCATGAAAAATACTGCTTCTGATGCAGTTTTCCCCATTCAGCCTGTGCCGGTCACTCACAGGGCTACCTACTGCTGTGCGTGTAAATGAAGTATAACCAAGGCCCAGTCCCATTTCTTATTTTTACCCCTACCCCTTGTTTTCAAGTGTCATCTTGTCCCTTGGAACCTAGTTACAAGATTAGTGGTTGAAATCTTCCCTACGAAATGGGACCCTCAAATAAAGGAGAACTTCATTAACAGCTACTAGCGTTGCTCTGTAGGCGACCTCACTGCTGGGCTTGTTACATTTAGGGAATCATATGTCATCAAAGAAGGGGATGCGATAATTATTTATTATTGGCCACCTCTAATTCTTCAGTGATATGAAGCTGAAGTCAGATATTCACCAGCTTCTTGTTTAAAATTTCCCGTTGCACCTTAAATAGTGCAGCAGTTCTGATGCCTGAGGCACCAGAATGTAACTGCTGCACCATTTAAGGTGGAATGGAAAATTAAGCTAGCTAGCGAGACATCAGCAAACAACCAGTGATTTTTTTGAAAATGACCATAATACAGGGTGATTCAAAAAGATTCATCCGATTTCATATTTTTACAACCGTGAGACGCCTAGGAACCAATCACATACCAATTGAAAGAGGGGGTCATAGAGTTTCTGACTGTCTTCGAAAGATGGCTCCCTTCAGTCTGCGAGGAGATGAGACCCCTGAGCAGAAAGTGTTCTGCGTACAGCTGGAGGAGGTTCATACTGAGCACTTGTAAAATTACATAATACACTTTATGCTCACTTACACCATTTACAGTTCACTGTATTGTTCTGTAATGATTTACAAGTGAAATCAATCATTTTGAAATCAGATGAATCTTTTTTAATCACCCTTGAAACAACATTGAACTAAGATAACACAATGATTATTGTAATTTTGACAGAGAAAATACCCACATTTGTGGGTTTCTTTGGTCGCTTGTGCAGCCATTTTTCCGTTTTTTTCTTTCATTCTCATAACACTCTGTTTGGAGTGAGTCCCTGAAAAACCTTCACCCCACCCCTGTATCTCAACAAAAATCGGGACACCCTAACCCTAGACGTGAACGCAAAAATGGAGGGGTAAGGGCTCAGTGGTAGGGACAAGGGGTGAAATGGGATTGACCTTTCAGATCACGGATCAGAGTGCAGAACACTCATTCATTGAAACTGATAATCAGTTGCAGCGCTGTGTTGTTATTGGTGTTGAGTGTGGAACCATGATGACAAGTACACATGGGCTTTGACATTTAAATCCAGGCTATCCTTGGGAATTTAGGAAAATACCCAGTTACCTTATTTCACACGAATCAGCCAATCACCTCTCTTCCAAATATTACAGTATTACAGAACTAACCACAGTAAATCTAATGTAATTTTACAATAACAACACAAGGAAAGGATCTTCCAGTTCTGGCGTCACTGCTTTATTTGCAGACAACCATTCCAGTTTGTTTTTAAAGAACAATGTATAAAAAAAGTTATATGTGCCACTAGTGTCTGTCCAAGCTTTCAGTGTACCGTGCAACCACAGACAATGACCATAGTGGAATAATTGTGATAAGTGAGAGATAATCAGCACAGAGTGACCTGGTCCACGTTCTTCACCACTGAACTAAATAATACTGATACGACGTGACATCATAACATTAAAATGATATTGGAGGGAGTGTTGGCTTGTTTCAACAATATATACAGTATCACAATGGATGGGCAATGTAAAAAATAAGGGGTTCAACTTTGTAGCAAAATATCTGTACATTTAAAAAAACAAAAGACTTTCTTCTTCAATGCAATGTCCTTGTTTTTTTTTTTCTTATTTAAAAAAAAAAAAGGAGCAAACTTTTTTTTTTTCCACTGTTCACAAACGATCACGAGAGAAGCCGAGCAGGAGAGGAAATCTGTGTTCAGAATGAGACGTACAGAAAATTTTACACCGAGCTTTGTGAATCCTTCAGACTGTACCGTTCGTGTGTATTCCATAAACAGAGGGAGATTGTCCTCCATAGCACCAGTGAAGAATAGTCCTACATCTCCTCTCTCTCTCTCCATCTAGTTCTTTTTGCATGAAAGTTCATTAGGACGATAACCGACGTTAAGCAAAAAGCAAAGTGCATCATGGGCATTGTCCCAAGTCTGACAGTAACAGCTGCTCAACCGGGAGTTTGAACCACATATGTAGCCAAGAGTTTAAGGACCATGTTCACTTTCCAGTAAATTGATGCCACTGAGCTTTTCAGTGGTTTACATGGTCACTTTTGTTTGAAAAACACAAGAGCTGGTTAAAAAACACAACCACGTCTCCTCTCACCATTCCACTCGAGTCTGCTAGGCTTGACTGCTCAGTTCCAGTGTTTCACATCTGTAGCTTTTATACTTGCCAACTGTCCATTTCTCTCAACAGTATCCAGTGTACAGTTAAAGGTGAACCAGTTCCAAGTGCAACGTGTCTCAAACCTGAACGTTCATTCACCTCCTCCTTGAATTTTTGAAATAGCGAGAGGTGATGTGGAGTCGGCTTTTCCCTCTCTTGTCTTTTTCTGGCTCAGTAAGCTGGGCTAGCAGGTTGTGACCTCCATGCTGAGCAGCTGAAGGTGCTGTCCATCAAAATTCCTTCTCGCGCTCCTTCTGAAGGCGTCAGCCCGGCGGAAGGGATGACTGCGCAGGTCTGTGTGGGTGACACAATCACATTAGCCTCTAATAAAGACTCGGTATTCTGTTTGTAGGGATGTCCCGACTTAATTAAAACATTTATTTTTTTAATGCATCAGTATCAACATAAATATTTTAACGGATCAGTATTACCTTTATTACCTATATAGATCTGAAAAACTAAATGAAACCTAAATGAGCTGAACATGCTGTTGTACATATGCTTAAAAGACTGGTAGAGCAGGGGTGGGGAACTGAGGGCTGGAGTCAAGCACAGTCTGGCGATTTCCAACCTCTAGCAACTAAACCTGCTAATTAGCCAATGAGTTTGAGAAAATCAAACTGCTAAAAGTTGCCAAAGTGCCAATATTTAAAATTTCTTCTTTGCAAAGATCTGGATAAACAAACTAACGCAAGTGAATGCAGAAAACAGTTACTTTTAAATACTTTAAAAAAAAAAACAAAAAAAAAAACAAAATCTTTTTGAAAGAAAAAGTCCTTAAAAGACCTTTTGTCCACATTTGTTCACACAAGTTATTTCATAACGTAAAATTCAGTTAAATTAATAAAAAAATAACATTTGCACTTTGGACTGGGAAAAAATGCAGTTCTCTGTTCGTTCATTATTATTCAGTTTTCATGTTGACTTTCCTTTTTTTTAACAAGCTGTGTTGTCGCTTCACTACTGAAATAGTAAATAAAATAGTAATAGTTCAGATGAGCTGCCTTCAGCCAAGATGTTGACATAAATGCATGCAATGTGAAATGTGATCATTTTTTTACATCCTTTAATCAGTTTTGCTACATAATTCTCAGCTCTGAAATGAACTGTCGGACTGTATTAAAGGAACAGTTCGGCGAAAAATATAACTTACCCAATTTCCCATTTACCCAAGATTAGCCAAGACATGTTTGGAGTCCATATTTTACTTTAGTTTAGAACTGGAGCTACAAAGCTAACATTGCTAACAATCACTAGTCACTCAAATAATCACTCAATAGTCATCCAAATAGCCCAAATCGTTTCTATAAAAAAAATACATTCTCAAAACTTTTCCCAAATCGTTCAAACTGAATGTACATCTTCGTTAAGGTCGTGCAGACCTGGCAATGTGGTTTAGAGCACAGCATGACTTACTGTGAGCTATAAAAATGAGCAAAACTTCACTGTTTCAGACAACACCAGGGCTGGTATTCACAAAGCAGGACAGATCTTGGATCAGATTCCTTGTTTTTGATGGTCAGTGTCACAACTGCTGATTCTAGATCAGCACTCCTGCTCCTGATGGGGTCTGTGAATAGACCCTGCTGTCTGAAGTGGCTGCCCGCAGTTTATTCAGCTCAGATATATACAGTTAACAGTAAGTCACACTGTGTTCTAAACCACATCACCAAGTCTGCACAATCTTAATGAAGACCTGGATGAGCAGGTTGAGAGAAGTTTTAGGGATGTATTTTAGAGAAACGATTTGGGCTCTTTGGGTGGCTACTGAGTTCTGGTGTTTGTTAGCAATGTTAGCCTTGCAGCTCCTGGTCTAAAAAGCAGAATTTGGACTCTGAACATGTCTCGGCCGATCTACCTACATCTGGGGTAAGTGGGAAACTGTAAAGTTGATCCTTCGCTGAAGATTTGGTTTTGGCAGATGCTCAATTTTAAAAAAAACTAGGATCAAAATAGGGACAAATAACCACGATCGGGACATCCCTAATTATATATATCCATCATAAACACACAGAAAGGGACATTTCAAGTTACACAGTTTGCAACCATGCTTGTTTCATGTCATGGAGAATGGATGGAATGTTGAAGAGAGAGGATTCGATGCATGCAGGAGGGTCATCTGTGCGCAGACTTCATACCCTTATTCATTCAGAATGAAAACACATGGAAGAGAGATGGAAAGAGGGATGGGCAAAGGGACGGCGAGACGAGTGAGATATAGACAGACTTAAAGCCACCTTTCTGAGGGAGAGAATTTTGTTTAGTAATGGAAGTCCTCGGAGTGGGCGGGGTCACAGAAGAACCGCGAGCCACGTTTGGCTGAGCGCGCGGTAAACGGGACGGTCTTCAACACTGCAGCGAAACAACAGCCAATCACAACACAGAAACACTAAGAATAGAAGCTGTAGAAAAGAACTGAGATAATCCAACATACTGAAACTACACATTTGATAAAGATTGACCTCTACAGGTAAAGATAGAGAGAAAAAAGAACAGGACAGATCCACAGTTTCACAAGTCATCAGGGTTCCCACACTCAGAAAACGTTTCCATAGGATCAGATTAAAGCTTGAAAGGATACTCAGTTGCACCATAGAGAGTGACCCCTGGTTTTTTATACTAGGTATGGTTAAGGATGAGGTTAAACTTACATCTTGTCAAATCCAGCTCACAAATTATTGTTCATTGCTTGTAAGTGTATCTTAATTAAGTGGCTAGATGACAGACCACCCACAATTAACCTCTGGCATAATGAAATTATGAAAATAGAATTAAAGGTAATGACACAGAATTTGAGCGCACTCGGTCTCCCTTCCTTTCCAGTCTTCCACGTCATATATGTGAAATTGTTGAATGTGCTCAGGTTTGGCCGAGATGTTGTACTTGACCATGTTATTAAGGTGGATGTCTAAGTTTATTGGTATGTGTTTGTTTTTGAATGGAATGTCTAGAATGTCCACCATTATGTCTAGTAAGCTGTTAGAGGAATGGGGTAGAGGGGTAGCTCTGCAGTTTCTTACCCTCCTCTGTTTTTTGTTTTCATTTTTTTTTTTCCTCTTCTCTTTTTTTTATGATTGAAAATTAAATAAAAATCGTTCTTGAAAAAAGAAAAAAAAGAAAACTTTTCCATGGCTTCTCAAAGACCTACTTTTAAGACTTCTATGTACATTTTTTATGAAAAACTGTACAAGATTTTTGGGCTATGCTGCTTTTAATTTTAACTTCAAACACTCTGGCAAAACACGGAGACTAGAAACTACGAAGACCCTAAGGGGTCGTGGGAAAATAAAAAAAAAAGTTAATGACATTGCGTTCCCTCGCAAAATATATGCTCGTCAGACAGCAAGCAAACATAGGACCAGAGGTGCCCGATGACACTGCCTACATTAGAGCTTTGTTTTCAGCATAGCTAACGTTAAAAGCTGTTTTCCCAGTTTCGCCAGTCTGTGCTGAGTTTATTCAGCTATTGTTCTCTGCAATCTCTGTAAATGTAGTTTTTACTGTACGAGGACCCTCGACCTCAGTCTCAGTTTGAGTCACTAACAGCAGAATCATGTTTGATTTTGAGAAGCGACACTATTTCTTTATATTTCAATCCAAGATCAACGTAAAATTCAATGAGCTGCTCCATGTCTGAGCTTAAGCAAAGCACAGCTTTTGTGAGCGAATGCAAACCATTTGCATCATAATGCAAAACATTTGCGAGGGAACGCAATGTCATTAACTTTTTTTTTTTTTTTTAACCACGGCCCCTTAGGGGCTCCGTAAGAAACAGCGCCATGATGTGAGAAAATAAAAATCTGGTGAAAAGAAGTCAAGCACTTAACTACAATAAAGAAAGAAAAGCATCATTATACTAGCCATGTCTTTAAGAGGGAGGGCCTTTGTACTAGAGATGTAACAAGAACTGATGTCAAGTTGATGCAAAAATTCAATAAAATGTAACAGTTGGATCTGGGAATCGTTAAGAAACAACTGATGTCAATACCAGCACGATAATTCCTCCTGAATAATACTTTTGTCCATACCTTCTTTTAAATTACGAACTGAAAGTGTGTGTTGTTCAAATCTGAAGTAAGTGTAAGGTGCTGGAAGTGGGTGTGGTATAAAGCATACATGAGTATAAGATGCTGGAAGTGGGTGTGGTATAAAGTAGAAATAAGTGTGAGGTGCTGGAAGCAGGTGTGACTTAAACCAGACTGACTGCATGCAGAGGGGATCCTGAAATGCCCACCGATGTGAGAGGAAGGTAATGTGGTGTCTTTTAAGGCTACTTTCGGACTGCAGACAGTGTGAACAGCAAAAAACACACTAATTTTGACAGTTTCAGTTCAGATTAGGGTCACTTTCATATGTGGCACTGAAACCTGATATGTATTTGATACTCGGCAATGTGGTCTCTGTCTTAAACACTAAATGTGACATAAATCCAACTCAATTTTGTGCATGCAGGAACAGACTCTTTATGGCAGTATCATTAAAATGTGTTACTATGGTTACGCTTCGCATCTTCTTTCGCTTTGGAAGATAAGCAAGACTAGTGCTGGTTGGTTGAACAAATAAGATGGCCGCTTTTTAACGAGAGGACTCAAACTAACAACTATTCAAAATCATGTTTACTTAAAGGATATTTAAAAAAATTAGAAAAACAAAACAGTCAGAGGAGCTTCACCTCCGTATCCAATATATACGGCAGTTTTGGCATTTTGGGAATTGGTGCCCCTTTGCTAGCACTCTTCTAAATGGCAATTGAACAAAACCAAATGATGTATCTGTTTGATCAGCTACCACAAATAAAGTTTACAATTTTTACTCTTTTCTGTACACATAACATCTCTATGTCTTGTATTATGTAACCTGAATATGACCGAAAACGTCTACATACAATTCCATACCATTTCATAAGTTTTAAAAACATTTTATTCTAATTTATGACATTTTTATGGGGCAGTCGTGGGCTGGAGGTTAGGGAACCAGCCCTGTGACTGGAAAGTCGACAGTATGTGACTGAAGTGCCCTTGAGCAAGGCACCTAAACCCCAACTGCTCCCCGGGTGCTGTGGATAGGGCTGCCCACCGCTCCGGGCAAGTGTGCTCACTGCCCCCTAGTGTGTATGTTCACTAGTGTGTATGTGGTGTTTCACTGCACAGGTGGGTTAAATGCAGAGGTGAAATTTCCCCGTTGTGGGACTCAAAAGGGTCACGTCACCTAACTTTAGAGCCAGCCAGAAAAATTATATTTTAAAATTCACTGACGCCTCCTGGATTTCCAGGACTGTGGGAACCCTGATTTAACTCCACACTTATCTATCTATCCGTACCTGTAATTATGTCCTCAATGGCGCCATCTTTGCCCTCATAGACGTGGCGACTATCCTTCCCCTGCCTCTTCCTCAGCTCAGCTATCAGCTCCTGTTGCTGCCTCTTGCCCTTATGAGATGGCGACTAGTGTGCAGAGAAAAGAAAGAGAAACACATAAACATGAGAAACACAGAACAATAATGTTATCAAAAATAACATACCATTTTTAAACAGTAAACATAAGTGCCACGCCCCCTTGTGCCATTTTCTGAAACTGAATCATGTTTGAGCAGTTAAGTGTCTTGCTATCCTCCCTGCAATTACCTACAAGCTACCTACCTACCCGTCATGATCATGACAAATACTTAGCTGATGATTAATTGGCATAAAAATAATTCTAACCAAATATGTAATTCTCTTTATTTGTTAACTGTTTGCAGCTATAAAAGTAGCTGAATAGCTATCTTGCTTCTTATCATTACTGTGACAAATTCTGTTATTGTGATAAACAATATGCTTTTGTGAGCACATTTGTGGATATTGCCCATACTTAAAGAATCATGACCAGCTGCATGTTTCATTACAGAGCATAATTAATCCTGTTTAAATTCATTTAGTGCTGCACTGTACGCGAAACATTGTATTAAAATCATTGTTTTTGATGGCTGTTTATGCATTATTCCTGTGTCAAAACACTGTCGTGTACATATATCTTGTATTGTCGTGTACACATAGCATGTATCGTGAAAACATCTTTAAGTATCGTGATATTTTTGTCATATCACCCATCTCTGCTTACAAACTAATGAGACTTAGTAGCTCACAAATGACCAGTCTATGAAGCTCAGACAAACATTACACACTACTTCCCTCTAAAAGTCTTACAGCACTTGACAGAAGATAAAACTTGTGTTTTGCAAGATCTGTGATGTGTCTCTAAAAATACTTTCTTTCGTTTATTTACATTTATTTGCCCACAACACAACTGATGGAAATGCACCCAAATCGCCTTGTTTGTTGCAATGTAAACATGCTGTGAAAGCTCACTACTGTGGAAATAATTAAGCTCAGCTCATATAATTCAGATCAGACGATTATGTAATAATAATGATTGTAGTAGGTCTAGTTGGGGCCTGGACGCTAATTCTCAAAATGTGGCCAAGTCATACCTGCTGATCCTCCTGCTCCTCCATCATGGCCTCTTGTTCCAAAAGCTTCTCCATCATCAGCTGTTCCTGCCTCTTTCTCTGCTCATTCTCCTCATCTGCTTGCTAAGGAGGGAGAGACGAGATGAAAGAAAGAAAGTCAGTCAGACTGAACTAAACAGGAGCGCAAGCACCAGGAGCGTGTGCAAGAAAAATGCTGACTCACCCTGTAGGCTTTGACAAACCGCACGAACACAGGAAAGAAGACGGAGGGGGGCATGGTTTTGGCACTCTCCCCAAAGTACTTTACAGCATCATCAAAAGCATCCTATGGGAACACACAGCTCACATGAGACTATGATATGAGGATCTACATAAAATTATTCTAACGCTTTTTATTCTCTTCCGAAAAATTTCAGCTGAATTTTTCAAATTTAGGTTTAATTCAGTAGCCTTCAGCAGACCAACCTAGTTTAAATAGTTCATTTTTACTTCATCTTGTCGTTATTCACTTTCACACTACAGTACATTACTTTTGTCCATGACATCATGACTATTACAGGAGATTATTTATTCTAAACAGTCGTCTTCTGGTAAACATTTAAGCAATAGAACACGAGAGGGAGTGTGTTATCACAAAATTACATCACGGGCTGTGATTTGGTCGCTGTAGATCATCGCAGCCGTGATGTTATTCGCGATAACACACAACCTCGAGTGTTCTAATGCTTTTATATAATAAATAAATTAAGAAATTAATAAACTCTGCGTTTAATGTTTTAATGTTCGCAGCTCCCTCTGCCAAATTATAGTTCCTTAACAAGCAGCTTGTTGCTACGTCAGAGTAACGAGCTCCGCCCACTCGCTGCACAGCCGGCAGTTCGTTCTCCAGCTCCACACAGACCAACTGACAGTTTGGGAATTTAGTGTCGTCTCATCTTCAGAGTCTGACCAAATCGGCTGTCGGTCAAATGTGATCTTAAAAGTGTCCATTTTCTGTTTGTGGCAAAGTAAGAAGTAAAAACGTTCAAACGGCTTGAGCGTCTCCTACAGCTGTCAAAGTTGTTGCTTAGCAACGGCTTCTCAGCGGAGTGATACAGTGTTTGTGAAAAACCCGTGATGCTATGGTGAAATAACAGCACAGTCAGAACGCTTCTCAACCAATCAGCTTGCGTGGCCGGAACTAACTGTTGTATAATGGCGTAAAGCTGATGTATGGAAATGAATAACGGAATGCAAAACCGTTATTTCCAAGGCAGCAATTGTCTTTTGAAAAGAACAGCAAAAACACAACAATACAGACAGTTGGTTGTTGTACATGAGCTGATGCACACCCTATGTACAGTGTTCTCTGCAAACATTGGCACCCCAGTAAAGAAAACGTGCAAAGCAAAACGTGCTGTAGAAAACAATTCTTATTGCTCTTATGCTTTTATTCAAAGTATCAACAAAATCGAACCTTTACTTGAAGTACAATGATTGAAAGAAAAAACTAAATTTTATCATGAAATAAATATTTTTCTCAAATCTATGTGTGGCACAACTGTTGGTAGATCTTCATTTAATACTTTGTGCAGCAGATCTAGGTCTTCTCCTATAATGCTTAATGAGACTGGACAACACATGGTAAGGGCTTAAGACCATAGAGAATCTATTCAGAGGTTTATGCTTACGATGTAATTCATGACAAGATTTACTTTTTATCATCAATCACTGTATGTTCACAGCCCATTTAGCTCATGTTTACCAGGGGTACCATTATCTGTGGATGGCATTGTAGCAATCAGATTTCAATATGACTAACCAGAGATGAATATGACTACCAAGCGTGAATATGTGGTTAAAATCACATCAGGTTACAATCCAGTTTCAAGTTGATGAAACTATTAGGTGTAAATGGGGTCAAAGCTATAGAATGAGCCCCTCTCACACCTGAGGAAGGGTTTAAAATACGTCTTCCAGCAAACTGAACAACCACAGAGTGGTGACAAGGTGAAATTAGCCACTCCCCCTATTTATAATAACAGCACTCCCAAAACAAGTCCCTGCAATTCTTGGGTTTCTACATTTCCACAGCAACTGTATTGTACACTATATAGTCTTTATTGCTCATGTTCATGTATGGGACTTGCCAAGATGATCCTGTTTCTAATAAGACACAAAACTTTAGTGTTGGCTGTATTGTACCTGTGCGATTCTGGCATCATCCTGCAGTTTTTTCAGCCTTGTTTCGTTGTGGTGGATGAAGTCTTTGAGCAGCGAGTTGTGGCCATGCATGCTGTACTCTCGGCGGGTCAGATCCATACCTCTCTGCAGCTCCCTCACATCCAGGAGAACGTTCTCCAGAGAGACTGAAGCACAAGAACCATGCTGTTTCTGACTACCATCAATCAGATGTCATATAGCCAAATTATGCTGAACTTATGCTGAAAAGTCTCAGGCAGCCAAGAAAATGATTTATCTCTGCAATAAGCGTGTTTTTTCCCAACACTATATTAGATATATTAGATTTATATACACCGATCAGGCATAACATTATGACCACCTCCTTGTTTCTACGCTCACTGTCCATTTTATCAGCTCCACTTACTTATTACTGTGGCATTAGTGTTAATGTTTCAAAACTTTTTTTGTAAGTGTAAAACTTGGAGTGAAAAGGTCTTAGGTTTGTCACCCTCTCTGGCTCAAACAGAAACTGTCTAAATATACTGAATTTTCTAACTGTATAATTCTTTTTTTTTTAAATAATGAAAACAAATATTTTAAATAATTTTGTTTTGACTCATCAATTTTCAAAAGTGCTTGTTAACCCAGCTCTAAAACCTTGTGTCTATTTTATTATTTCTTTTCATTTTTGCACCAAATGAAAAGCCAGATCCATTGTCTAAATATTTCATGATGAAGGGACCAACAGAAATGGTTCTGAGGTACTTAAATAGTTATCTCGTTAAAGTATATAACAGTTAAAAAAACTATAAAGTGCTATTAGTAAAATGTATTTGCAATATGGATGTAGTATAAGTGCCTTATTCAACAGTACTAATATACACAGTCTTACCAGCAGCTGCCTTCTCCACGTAATGGAGTTCATTGTAGAACATGCTCACAACAGGGTATTTTTCCCTCACCACATTAGCAATGTAATGCAGCAGGGTTTGCTTTCTGTCTGTGGACTTGGTCTCCAGCAGCTGTGGGCAAAGAGCATGATCAGGTATAACTCTACAAAGACTACACGGGGATAAGTACCCATGACTGCGGCTCATAACTTATAAGAGATTCGTTTTCTCAAACGTTACACAGCAGGTGATTACAGACTTACCAGATCTAAGCTCTGAAGCTTAAAGCCGTACACAGCTCCTCTCTTACTGCTGTTCATGTAGTTCCCCAGGGCCAAGATGATCTACGAAACAAAAGACCATGAATGTTCTATCAGGATCAGAAATGTAAAGAACTCTAAGAAGATCAGTGCGGACTGCTACTCACTTCAAGTATCTTCTTTAACTTCTGGGATGATTTTATGGACACAGCGGCTGCAATGATCGCATGCAGTTGCTGTAAAAAAAGGAAAATCTATTTAAAATCATTGAAATCAAAATCACAAAGTACACAGTAGTCTGTAACACATTAAAATTGCAGTTATGGCAGGTGTCAACAAAATACTTGAAATTTTGTTTTTTGTGGAAAAAATGCTATAATTTTAAAACTGTTTGGCATTAAAAGTATAGCATAATAGCAGCTCAGAATGATGGGTTTGTGCATAAAGGAATGGTCGATCTTCTGGGGTTAGCCTTAGCCTAACCCCTTAGAAATTCAATGATGCTACAATTCAGAATTTTTTGTTTCTCTTTAAATGGTGCAGCAATTACATACAGGTGCCTGTACAGGTGCCAAAATGTAAATGCTACTCCATTTAAGGTGGAATGCTAAATTAGAAAGCAATATTGACATAGCTTCATCTATACATTGTTTCTGTTTTGCATTACTTTGCATAATACAAATATTTCAGATTATGGCTATTTAAAACAGTTCTTTTCAAAAAGTGAAAGGACATTCCAACACAATAAGCCACTATTAACCTACAGAAATAGGTTTACTTAAGCATCTACAATTACTTTATTAGAAAAAAAATATATATGTACTGATATATATACTGAAACTGTGAGAAATTTGCCCTACCATATCACCCACTACTACCTCTACCTTTAACTCTATTCATCCCTCCAATCATTTCTCACCGGTGTAAGCATCTGCAGGCTGTCGCTGAAGTTGCCCATGAAGGCCATGATGGTCATTCTCTGAGGCAGCCGCTCGATCTTGCTGAAGAGCATCATGAAGCGGTCTTCATCTGTGAGCTCAGCCAGGGGCCGCCGCTCCCTCTCGTATTGCCTCAATACTTTCACCTCGCCCTCTGTGGGCATGAAGCGCATCAGACACTCCACAAAGTCCAAGGGAACGGTGCGCAGGTCAAACCTGAGGGGCAACAACCAGCAAGTGGTCAGGCTACATTGTGAAAATTGTAACTGTAAAATTACAGTAATTTGTTGGAAGCAATTTCTCCAGTAATTTACTGTTTATTTACAGTACTGATACTGTATAAAATTACAATTCTCTACTGTACTTCTACTGCATGTTGATTACTGTGTATCATATTAAACCTTCTAAAACTTTTGCACTTCTGCTCAAGTGGAGGTCTAAAGGGAGGAACTTCTACTTTTACTGGAGTAATATTTTACCTTGGGCATCTCTACTTTAACTCAAGTACATGATTTGTGTACTTCGTCCACCACTGCTCACCGTCATTCATAGCCTTTCAGCTCTCGTCTGCCACATACTGTCTTTAATCTCCAAATTTACATAGTCAGTGTTTTGCTTGTGTATAAGCTTCTGTGCTCCGCTACAAACAAGAGTTCTGCCGACATCTCGACGCACGTTTGTTTGGTCTGCAACCTTGACAACGGAGCTCTGTTTGGTCAGCCTGATTTTAACATATCCGTACAGCACAGAATATCATGCAGGCTCTGCTAAAGAAATGTTCAGAGTGTCGCAGGCCGTCAGTTTTAGTCTTGGTGTGAACAACTGCATTAATATACATGTGACTTGTTCATAAAAATTAGACTCTGTGTGAATAGGCCTTTAATCTCATAGTCAAAAAGCAAAAGGTCTGTATTTCCATCTAGCGTTTGAACGAGGGACCTCAAGGGCCTTTGTAGGACCAAAGGGCCTCCTGCAGGGCTGCAGCAATCCTTAGCTCGGCTAAGTTAGAGAAATATCAGCTAATCATCAACTGCACATTTCAGCTGAAGATCAGTCAATACCGACACATAGCCAATCGATCCTTCCATCTCTAGTAGCAACCACCTTGGAAAACATAAAGTCCTAAAAACACCTTAGCAACCACCTGGAATCTGACAGCAACGGCTTTATAAAGAAATTCGTTCACAAACTCTCCCCTTCCGTGTATATAGTTTGAGAAGAAGCTTTGCTGTTTATACAAACAAGCTGAGGATGCACTCACGTTTGGATCGCTTTGCAGATCTCCTCTGGGCTCTTTCCTGCTTTGCGGAGGGTGATGGCCAGGTTTTTGGCCCTGTTGGCCTCCAGTAGTGACACTTTATTGGGGCCTTTCTGTGGCGCTTTCTGCTTGCTCATTGTCATGTCCACCGAAGGACCCTGGGCCTTGGTCTTAAACAACTCCTCAAACTCATCCACGTTCAGGTCCTGGGAATTTGTAACAAAAGGAAGCACGAATCAATACATACAATACTATTCCACTTATTATAGCATCTTGAAGAGACAGAATAATGCTGGCATGGGAGTCAAAGAACATTAAAAGAGTAGAAGAACCGAATGGTAAGTACCTCCAGGATCCTTTCATCATCAATCTCATTGAAGACAGTGCCATTGATCTGATTGGGTTTCAGAGCCACCCAGTTAAAGACTGGCATCCGGAACTTGGTCTTGATTGGCTTCTTAATCTTTACAGCTGCAAAAGGGAGAAAGACACCAAAGACACCATCAACACAGATTTCATTTACTTACAGTGCCTTAAAATATAACGAACAGTAGGGGTGTAACGATACACATTTTCAGTTTTTGATTGGTTAAAAATGTACTTTCTGATGCTAAACAAACTGATTCAGTTTGGCTGCCGTCAGACAAAATAAGCCCCAAAAATATGCGGCCTCTTGAGATGGATGTATTTACTAAGTAAGTCCTTCCCCCATCCCTCGTAATCCCCCTCAATAGGATGCATCCAGACACATAGTTTTGATCACTGACAATGGAATCCATAAAACACGGTAAATGAGAGATCATCTGGAGAGACTGAGGGACTTACTGGCAGTACAGTTTTAATTTTCAATACAATGTTTCAACTGCTGTTTCAATTATTCAATTATTAATCTTAGTGATGTGATATATAGATTTTAAATATTGTGTTAAAATCGTTACACCCTTAATGAACAAGTCACACAGTGAGGGTTAATATGCTCGACAAAGACAGCACAGACAAAAAAAACAAAATGAGATTGTGAGAATGATTCATTTATGGCCATAACAAATCACGACAGAGCAGAGATCACCCAAACACAGGAAACCTACAGAAGAGCTTGATTGGTCCGTCTTTGAGGGCAGGAAGAAAAGGAAGTAAGATAAAAGCATGAAAGGTTTAAAGATTAAAATAAGCATGTAATTTACAAAAGCAAAAAAATGAATTTCTAACTAGCAGTAAAAAGCAATAAAATAAATTTGCAGAATAGAGAATTAATTCAGCAGAAAAAGAAATAGCACAATTATTTTCAGACTCAGACAAACAAACATACATACATACATACATACATACATACATACATACACACACCGATCAGGCATAACATTATGACCACCTCCTGGTTTCTACGCTCATTGTCCATTTTATCAGCTCCACTTACTATATAGGTGCACTTTGTAGTTCTACAGTTACAGACTGTAGTCCATCTGTTTCTCTGCATACTTTGTTAGCCCCCTTTTACCCTGTTCTTCAGTGGTCAGGACCCCCATGGACCCTCACAGAGCAGGTAGTATTTGGGTGGTGGATCATTCTCAGCACTGCAGTAACAATGATGTGGTGGTGGTGTGTTAGTGTGTGTTGTGCTGGTCACAGCAGTGCCACTCACTGTCCACTCTATTAGACACTCCTACCTTGTCAGTCCACCTTGTAGATGTAAAGTCAGAGACAATAGCTCATCTGCTGCTGTACAGTATGAGCTAATCATCCTCTAGTCCTTCATTGGTGGTCACAGGACGCTGTTGGCTGGATGTTTTTTGTTGGTGGACTATTCTCAGTCCAGCAGTGACACTGAGGTGTTTAAAAACTGTGACTGATCCACTCAGACCAGCATAACACACACTAACACACCATCACCACATCAGTGTCACTGCGGTGCTGAGAATGATCCACCACCCAAATAGTACCTGCTCTGTGAGGGTCCATGGGAGGTCCTGACCACTGAAGAACAGGGTGAAAGGGGGCTAACAAAGTATGCAGAAAAACAGATGGACTACAGTCTGTAACTGTAGATCTACAAAGTGCACCTATATAAAAAGTGGAGCAGATAAAATGGATAATGAGCGTAAAAACAAGGAGGTGCTCATAATGTTACGCCTGATCGGTGTACATTACATACATACACACACAAGTCACTACAGTACATACCTGTTAGGCCAGAGTTAAATATGACTGTGGGTGTGCCACAGCCTGGGAGGGGAGGAGCTACAGGGGGAGGGGGAGGGGGCAGTGGGGTGGACATCTCCACAGCATGCCCAGGGGGTGGGGGTGGAGGAGGGGGTGGAGGAGGAGGAGGAGGAGCAGAGGCAGCTGAGGGTCCATTAGGTACTGCACACGAGAGCAGAAGAGATATAAAATCAATACAATATATATGTAAAATGAACTAATGCAAATAATACAGTTAAAATCATTAACACATTCATCAGCAATAACAACAGTACGATTTCACTTCACATTAATTACTACTTATGCACAGCTCATTAAAACGAGTGCAGAAATTCTACTGTAACTAAATTCTATCATAACTAAACAGACTTTTTTTATCAATGCTAAAACATCAGTCTCGATGACATGTCAAGACAAATCCAATTAGGTTTTATATTCCATAATTTTTTTTTATTTACACTATTAACAAGTTTTTATTTTAATATGTATTTTAATAAAAAAAATAATACATACATTTTGAGTGTAATCCGTTAGAATGACGAGCAGACGTACAAATACCTCAGTGCGCATATTTTGAGGATCCCTGCTTTTGATCATCAAACTGATTTGTGTTGTTACTCACCTGAAGAACCCAGCATGGGAGGTGGTGGAGGAGGCGGAGGTGGAGGAGGTGGTGGTGGAGGAGGCGGAGGTGGTGGCGTGGCCATCCTTCTCAGAGTTCCTGTCTGAGAGATGCTGCTGGGGCCGTAGGAGGTGCTGGCGCACGCTGCAGCCTGAGCCATGGCGTCGGGGCAAGGCGAGAGGGCCATGGGCTGCGGAGGAGAAGGCAGAGGGGAAACGTCTCCCTCCCCGTCACCTTCTCCCCTCACCTGGATCTGCAGGCTGCCTCGCCGCTCCAGCTCATGGATCTTCTTTTCCAGCTTTGACTGCCGCTGGATGGTCTCGTCCTTCTCGCGCATGATTCGCCGAAGCGTGTGCACCTGTGAGCTGGCGTCCCGGTACACGGCCTGCATCGCAAACAAACACATGAACAACCAGCTCAGCCTCTGTCAACTACTACTGAGAGTTTAGATCTGACCTGCACTTTAAACTCACTGTGGATCAAAAAACGCATTTTTCTTCCTTAATGTGAGGCATTTCTGAGGGAACAGGATATTCAGAGAGGAAACAGTTGTGGGTGTGACATGATATTAATCTTCAGGATTTGCTGGAGAATAATATCATGTTATTCAGTAAAAGGGTTGTTCTGAAACGAACACGGAGACAGACTTTAATGGTCAGCAGAATCCATCAGATTTACAGAAAAGACCAAAAAAACACAAATTTTTGTACAATATTTTGATTATTTGCTAAATATTCTATTTTAATACGATTTTTTTTTACTTTTTAAGATCAAATTGTTAGGACTTGCATACTTTACACACACACCTCCTTTAATGCTCTCACTCGAATCTACTTGCACTTGCATCTGGAACATTGCTGCTAATACTGTGTTCTACTCAAGTACTGTTTATTTCTCCCTCAGTAACTGTTGTGCTCACCTATGTTATAATCTGGCTGCGTATTCCTACATATCACAGCATGTTAAATATCTCTGCACTTTATCCTCACTACTTTATGTCCAGAAATGATTGCTCTGTCGGCGCTGCACTGTCCGGTCTGTTTACTGTGTATAATGTCTGTTTTATTTATTGTATTTATTGTATTATTTCTAGTTTAATGTTTGCACACTCACGTCTGCACGTTTGCACTTTGTCTGTAATGTATTATTTTGGTCCATGTTGCACCATGTTGGTCCTGGAGGAATGTAATTTCACTCCACTGTGTACTTGTACATAGATGGAATGACAATAAAAGCCTCTTGACTTGACTTGAGCCAGCCTTTTGGCATCAACACTGCTTTCTATTTTCTTACCTCAGCTTACAGCTTACTCACAGCCCCACAGCCCCACAGCGTGGCAGAAAACTAGAAAATACAGCAAATACTGCCAGATATTTGAACTACCTCACTCATGTTGAAATGAACGCAGGTTGCCAGCATAAACAAACTGAAATAACCTATAAATGATTATTTTTACAACCAATTCAAAGCACAAAAGTGAGAGACTGAAGTGACGAGAAGTGAACAGGTTGTTCACTGGCATACATGCATGTACAGACGGGCGCAGAGGTGATTACGGTTGATGATTGGTCAGGGTGATGGGAGGGGGAGGAAAAAACATGCTTAGATATCATCAGTTGGTGGAATGTTTTCCCTGCTGCTAGAACACCAAACGTCAGCGGGCGATTCAGAGGCAGGCAAAAGTCACTACACTTCAATTAAAGATTACAGAAAAACAAGAATCTTGTCTTTTGAATATTACGACACAATGGATTGTGTTTCAAATGACGAAGGTGAAAAGGAATTTTGATTTCAGGATGACTCAGGAGACTCATGCCTCCCTCCTGCACCTTGTTTCACCTGTTTGGTAGTCTAGTATATAGGCCTGGGCTTTATCTTAAGTTTCTTGTGAAGTATCGTCACACTGTGTGCATACTGAGCGTTTCTCCTATATTCCTGACTGATTACCTGTTTTCTGTTTGACTTTGGCTATGTTCACATTACCACGTTGAAGTGGCACAAATCTGATTTTTTGCCCTAATGTGACTCAGATCTGATGTTTTCAGGGCCGTGTGGACACACAAATCTGATCTTTTCAAATCCGACCTGAGCCTCTTTTATATCTGGTCCTAGATCAGATACGTATCCGATTCATGGCCATGTGACCTTAATGTGACGCTCAGATTGGAATTCATGTGCTTTTTTTCCACTGTGCTTGTGCCATCAGTGCAGCGTTACCATGGCAGCAGCGCCGAACAGAAGTTAAAGCCTGTAAACAGTGGAAAAACCAACTCATCTCACCTTCGTTCAACTCATCTCACCTTCGTTCAACTCATTCACCATCTTTCTCCTTCGTCTCGCTCTAATAATGAAGCTGAGAGCTGATAAGAGTTAATTATCTTCTCAGCGAAGCTCGTTCTGCTCGTTAGTTTGTTGCTGATGATGAACGTGATTCATTACGTGATTCGTTACTGAGTAGGATGTGTGCATGCGGGTCATTTCAGGAAGCCGGTTCGTTCACATTAACAAATTTGAATCACTTATCTAAACGAGTGTGAACCATCGTGTCAGAGAGATCAGATTTGATCAGTGAGGCTTGTAATGTGAACGTAGCTTTTGATTTTGTCTCTACCCTTTAGTTCTGTGCTGATGTTCTGGTTTTCGACTTTCTGCTTTGGTCTATCGACTGTGATTTTGGACAACATCTTCGGCATTAAAGATCTTAACCCGAGCCTCTGCTGCGAGCGTCTGCTTCTGTCTGCCACAGTTACAAATTACCGAATGTGCACAATTATTCCTTTACTTCAAATGAAGACAGTAACCCTAGAAATGTTTTATGTCTAAGTACTGTTGTCTATAAAAATGGACCAAAAGCACAGACCAAATTTGGACTTCAAGATGGCGACTACTGATGTTATGTGATGTACTTTTCTCCATTTTTCAGAGAGCAGCATGTCAAACAGGGTCAGAAATCAAGTTCACTAGACATGCAGTTTGAGGAGAGTGTGTGATGATTCAGGCAGTTTTCACATCACTGACTGGTGGGATATTAGCTTCCATTTCTTGTTAGCTACATTAGCCCCACAGCTCCAGTACAGAAGAAAATTTCATCACATAAAGGATAAGGGGGAAACACTGCGAAACTTGAATTTTTCATCAAACTACTTTTTACGAGCATCACATTATCAGTGATAATTTACTATCAGTGACGATTCTTTTATTTTGTTATTTTGTTTGTTTCATTTATGTACACTTTGTTAAGTACATTTGTGTATTTTTTCATACTTAAACTGTTCGTTTATTTTATCACGACCATTTTCCAACCTCTGATTATCCCTAATAATTTAAGGAGCTGCTTTTATTACTGCACCTTTAAGGTTGATACATGTAAACTGTCTCTGTTCCGTTTGGCTGCAATATACTGCATCTGGGCGAGGGTAAACTGCTGCAGGCTGAAAGGAAGGACACCTGTTCTGCCTCCAGTTTTTGTGATATCATAAAAACAATTAATTAGAAACAGGCCGTGTTTGTAGCTGAATTTCCATACATGGACCATATGAGGTGGGGTGTGAATCATATGTTTTGAAACTTAAAAGTTTATACTACATCAAACGTTTTATTAAAAAAAAAAATGTGTGTGTGTGTAGGGGGGGGAGGGGGTCAGCTTTCATTTTAACTACACTTACTGGGATTATGACAAAGACCAATAACTTTGTCTTAGTTCTAAATCAGTTCTACTGGTTTGCACCACATTTTGGAAACTCTTATGCAGCCCTCACCCGAACGGAGTCCAGCTCCTTGTTCTTCTGCATGAGCTGCTTCTCCAGCTCCACAATCTTAGACATGGCCTCGTTCTCTGTGTCTAGCAGCTTATCCGTCAGCTGGCATGAGAAAGAAAGCAGATGGCAATAACAGGGTTAGTTCCAGAACAATCCAAGCCTATTTTTCAAAGCTGTCCTTTAGAGATTTAAAAAATACATTAATGTTGCATCGTTGTAGTGATCTGTTCTTGCTATTTAACGCCCACTTCCAGTCAGAGAGAGGTTTCATCTGGCACTGGTACAGATGTGGCACTTACGCAACTAATGGAGGACCTGATTATTCTAGTTCCTATTAAAGCAATACATTTGGCATCTTGGTAGCTATCAGAAGATACATAGTGAGGGAGTCAGTATTCCATACATGCGAAAGGCTCTCCTCTAGCTCCTCCACTCGTTCCAGCGCCGCGTTCTTGGTCTCTGCATCCTCCAGGAGTGTGCCAACGTCGAAAAGGTTATCCAAGTAGGCCTGGATCTGCACCTGTAGCTTATCGCTCTCTGTGTGCTTCAGTCTCTGCACATCCACAAACAAGCACAGCATAAACATGTATGTGGTGATGAAACAGCTACATTTTTTTGAAACAGTCAGAATCAAAGAATCTTACCTCCAGGTATTCATCCAGTGCAAGTTTTGTGAAGTCATACTGAAGATGAACTCTGAAATTCATGTCTTCTACCGAGTGCACCACAATGTTGATGAACTGCATGCAAGCAACCTACAGAAAAACAGCAACGAAAATCCTTCAGCGCTGCAAATGCACTCAGGAAGCCACAACACTACGAAAAGCACTTAGGATGAGAGCGCTCTCATACAAACCCACCATGAAATCAATATTGTTGTCCTCGTTTTTAAAGTATTCCATTAGTTTCTCAAACCTCTGGGTCTCTGAGCAGACCTGGGAGAGAAAAAAAAATGAGGAAGAGACTAAAAATGAGCCTAATTATTTGATACAAGACATTTGGACATCAGTAAATAGCAAATTTACCCCTTTACAAGCCTTTTGTTACATTCTAAGGTTTAGTATTTAGTATATACACAGATTACAATAGAAGTGCATAACAGAAACGAGGACCTGGGAAAATTTGTGACTAATATGACAAAAACAGATGTAACCATTATTACTGGATATATTAAAGGGAGCATAAAAATCTAATTTACACAGTTTTCCCATTACCGTCAATGAAAATGATCAGTCAAGAAATATTCAGTGTCTGAAGCTTCTTTAGTTTTGCACTGGAGCTACAAGGCTTACGCAGCTAACACGTAATACCTTCACGGCCGATGATAAAAGTGGCCATTTCTGGTCGTTTAATCTGCTCTTCTCCATTAATTACAAGATTTCTCAATGTTGCTGCATTAATTTGATAGGTTGATCTAACAAAGCTCAACATTTGTAGTTTTTTATTTCGTTTTGCTACAAACTTACGTTTTAATCAAGAAAAAACATGAACAGGTATAAACAAATAACTAAGCTATGTTAGAAAATCCCTCTCTCACTCATTTCAGCCAGTTTGCCAAACACACGTGCAACATGCAAGATACATCTTGCACTTTTGTTAAGGCTATTTTTATTCACTTTACGTCTTCTAAGAAGATGACTTGCGGCAGTTATCCCTTCAACAAGCTATGGCGGTGTTCTGACGAGTTGTGGAGTTGTGCTACCTTATCAAAATGTCCTACCATTTTTTACAGGTACACCCGTAAATAAAACCTCTGTGTGGGACATTTCGATAGCCTAAAACTGTTTAGCAAAAATACTACCAGTGTTAAAACAACGAGGCTGAAGTCAGTTTCCTGTTCAAGTTTTCATGTTCCACCTTAAATGGCTCTGCAATTCAGAATGTAACTGCTGAACGATTTAAGGTGGAACGGGAAAATTCAAACAAGAAGCTGGCGAATGTCATGAGACAACGTCCTCAGAAGATGTTACCAGCATTAAAATAACAATTAGGACATTTTGATAGACTAACTCAGCTTATCAGAGGGTAAGCAGTAATATTAAGCTGAGTCTGTACTGAATTAGCCTGAGTGCAGGCAAGTTTGTAGAGCTTTTCAAATCAAGCTGTACAGAAGGGAACAATCTGTCGTGTTTCAATGAGTATCAGATGAAAAACAGAGAACTGCAGGGAAACCTGCTCCTTTTGTTCTGACTTCTTTTCATCTGCCCTCAGTCTGCACATGGAAACACACCATCATACTGCCAAAACCTGCTTAAGGAGGCTGCCAGTCTAATGACGTGAATACAGTGCGCAGTAGCTTTAGCTCACATGTAGCAATATTCATATTTTGACTCTTTAATGACCTCCTAATTCAGAGAATCCAGTGATATTTGGGAGAAAAATGAACACAGGACAAAACGTATCGGGTCCTGAACACTTTTATTCACCACAGGGTGCGAAAGAGGCAATTTTTCGAAAACCTCATTCATTTTAGCCATAGAGAAATTGAGCTTAGACCCGGAGTTCCTAATATGGGCATACGACTACAAAATGACGACATGACTACAGTGGTCTATTAGTAAATAAATATACATTAAATTTACGCTTTCATTTCTTTTCCAATTCTCTATCAAAAATGTATCACGCACCTAGGACAATACATTTAGCATCGTGGAATCTGCTTATCATTAAACCCCTTAAATGGACTACAGGCTTGATAGGGTTAAGCATGCAAACTGCAGGCTTAGATCATCACACATTTGCCTCACACTGTGCTGAACTGTTATGTAGTATCAATCAGACTTGCTTATGTTGATTCTGGCACTGTATAACAATGTTATCTATACAAATGGATAAAAATACAGACAGAATTTAGGCTTCAAAATGGCTTTAACCCTTCTTAACTATTCATATTTGTCTATAGGAGTAGATAACACAAATCATACAGGTGGTTATAAGTTTTCATTACCGTTTAGCTACACTAGCCTTGTAACTAAATAAGCAAACTCAGAACACTAGACATATTTAGGCTGACTGATTATATTTGGGGTAAGGGCAAAAATGTGTAATATTTGATTTTTAAGAATAACCTATTCCTTTAAAGCAGAATTTAACTAGAGTGTTGAGAAAAGGGCCACGTACCTCTTTGAAATGATCGAAGGCAGCTAGGATGATCTCATGCCCTCCTCTCACCAGACACACAGCAGCCAGCAACTCTAGCACCAGAGCTTTGGTCCTGCATACAGACACAAACCAGAGACAATGAGCTCTCAACAGCACTCATCCCTGTGGGTTATGACCAGAGAACATTAACCATGGGGGAAGAACACTGTGCCAAGCTCTAGATCATGGTGAACGTAGCTTGACCAATCGAGCAGGTAATTGTGTTGGTTTATGGACGATATTTCAGCATGTTGCTGTCCCGCCCACAGTGGAATTTATTCATTAAGGATTCACGCATTGGAAGCCATCACAGGTATTTCACCTCAATGGCTCAGTGAGTAGATTTGGGTTACAAGAAGCCCTCACCCATCAGCTTAATCAGTGGGCTTGACAATAATCGTCCATTCAGTGCATTATAAGGGGAGCCCATCAGTGAAGGCTTTGATCAATTGTGAAAGCTAAAAGCTCAGCTGAAAGCTCCAATTGATACGAGCCGCACTTATCAGCTGAGTGCGAGTCAATCACCGAGACGAGAGTCAGTTTGCGAGACAAAGGTGGAGTTCTGTCACATGCTAATAGAGACAGAGACAGTGAGAGCGGAAGGGTGTGTGTGCAGAGTAGGGGTTACCTTGGATTTTTGTTGTTGAGGCTCAGGGCAATTTCATTCACAGCATGTGGATGTGACATTACCATGTTGAAGCCGTACTATATGCCAAGAGAGCGTGAGAAAGAGTGAGAAGAGAAAGGGGTGAATGTAAGTTGTTAAAAACAGTTCATCAAGCCAGGTGCAGCGCTATTGTTATTCCCCACCACAGCCAGCTGCTGAGTGAAGAGCGAAATATACAGTCACGTGCAGACATTTGAATATCCAGAGTCAAATGACATGTTTTGTTGATTTCCTAAGTGAAAAGAAGTACAAATCATCTACTGGAGTAATGGAAAAAATAAAACATACAGCATGCAGTGACTTTCGCACAGACAAATTTCCTTTTATTGTCCCCCAATATGTTAAATTCAACAAATAAACAGTAACTGTAAATTAAAATGAGAGGAGTGTGTTCTCTGTAGAGAATGCGTCCTTTTTTCACTTCAGAAAATCAACAAAACATGTCATTTAACCAGGGGTGCCCAAATTGAGAATATTATTGTGATTATACCACCAATTTTATCAATAACTGATTTTTAGCATTAGATTTTGGGACAATTACAGCACAAAAACTACACTCTGCAAAGACAAATGGTTCCAACCTAGTGCTGCTGCAAATCACTGCTGTCGGAACAAAACCTCATATCTCCAAATCGGTGACTTTACAGGAGAAAGAAAAAACGAACAAATCTTGCTTTTAATGTAAGTCAATGGAACCACAATTATTTCCAAGTAACTTTAGGTCGTTTCTTTTGGTCAATTCATCATGAAATGTACTCAAAATATAAAACATATTCAAATTATGTCAAAAAACTGAAAAACGACAAAAAAGGAAATATGATGTTTTGATCCGACAGCAGCAATATGAAGGTTACTGAATGGTATTGCAACGTAAAACCTTCAGGCTGTCTACACTGAAAACATCTGCTCTTCAGACAAAACATACACAGACTACAAAATTATCAGCTAATAGCTTGGGAGAACTATCTACACATTTTGTGTGCACCACATTTAGAAGCAGTATCCGTAGCTCATTGCAGAAACACAGCACTACAAACTGAAACCTCCAGCAGACCAGCAATGTCCTTATAAAAATTTGAGAAAGGGTCATACGGCTCACTTTTCTCCACCTCATTAGTTTCTCCTCATCTGCTTTTGGCTAGTTTAATCGTGTTTTGACAGAGGGTGGAGGGCTTGACCACAGTATTGAAGGTGGAACATCAGCACAATGTGACGTGCCAAAAATAGAGCTCTGGCATTACAGCTTTGTTAATTACAACGAGCGTGTTCTGGTTTTATCGTTGTTCCTTGCTTGGATTGCTTGCTATTGTTATAGTTTTTAACAGATGGTTGCTGTTGCTATGTTACAGGTGAAAAAGGCAGAGGGGTACTTGAAGAGAAGAGAGCTCAGAGTGCTATGACCAGGAGATACTGGCACAAATCCAGTGTGTCTCAGCCAATCAAATTGCAAGGTCAGAAGTAACTGTGGTATAATACACAATACACTAAACACACAGTAAGTACTCATGACGCACCAAAATGGAAACTGATCGCCAAAAATTCAGGACACACTGGGCTTAAAACCGATAAAAGCTAAATGATAACATTACATAGGCAGTAAGTGCCATGAAATCCTTGCTCTCAAAAACAGACAACAATGAATTCTAATAACGTTCAGTTATACTTTGCACTTTGGCCTCGTCATTTCTGATTTTTTTCTTGTCTTTTATGACAATTTTTTTTTTACAAATGGCATCTGGTACCAGTTAGACTTTCCTTTTGCTTATGTTATTATATTCTACATAGAGTAATGTCACATTTTTAAATTGGTTCCAGACATGTAGGGGAGAAAGTCCCCTCTTGTTATGTCACATGAACAGATATTATAAATCTCTTGTCTAATGCCCCTTTTAGAAACCCTGAAAACGTTTCGCATAGGCCAACAATTCTGCTGTTGATCTGCTGCTGCTCAAACTGTTTAGCAGTGGCTTACCTGATCAGTACAAAGGAATCAACAGTGGTTTTAATCACTGTTTCTCATTTTTATTACCTGTAAATCTTAGATTCTGACACTTTGTTGTAGGCCTACTGAATCTATTTTTTTTTCCTGTCCTAATGTTAAGCCTTTTATCTCATCTCAATATGAAAAAAAAAGTAATTTTCTATTTTCAACCCAAAAATTCAGTGGCCAAACCTTTGGTGCATCTCTAGGAAGTACAAAAAAATAAATAATAAAAAAAAAATAAGCAATAAAACAGAGAAAATGTACTGGCCATAACAGACGCACAGATGTATTGTGCCACGATGCAAACTGAGTTAACTTAGTCCTTTAACTGCAGATAACATTGTAGTAAATAAATGGTGCTAGAGTCTTCTGTACTCCACCCAAGCTTCATGAAAGCTTTTAATCCATATACCTGGTAGTTCATGATGGCTCTGAGACACATGATGCAGACGTGCACATCATCCTTCTTGCACACTAAACGGGAGTTTTTCAGGGTCCTGCGGCTGGGAAGGGTGTTAGACCTGAGAAAACATTACAGGATGACTTTAGAGACTGCAGCGGTAGCACTTTACATATCTGTAATTAGTGGGTAATAATATGGGGTAATATAATGAGAACAACTTCTACTTATCCATTAAATAAAATGTCAGTAATTGTACAGGTAGAAGGTCAGTAATAAATTGGCAAAATAATATAAAAAAAACTATCCTTGTTGATTAGAAATGCTACTAAATAGTAAGCTATTAATGTGACTGCATCTGACAACATCTCTTCAAAATTATGAGTGTAACTGCATCGAAAATATGAATAATTAGTACATTATAATCATCCAGTTTTGTACGCCCACCAACAGACAAGTGATGCTACCCAGTAGATCTGCCCAGATTACACAGAACAGAACTAAAAATGCAATAATACAAGTAATTTTGTCACCTGGTAAAGACACTGTCACTCTATTACAAAGCACATCTGTGTTAAATGGCTCAGAAAAGAGTAACCCATATCGCACCATAGGTACCTTTTATACAACCGGTTTATCTTTATTTATTACCATAGTATTACCATATTATTACCTACTTATTATCCATGTATAAAGTGCTACCATTTGGCTATAATTAATATGATTCTGTATGATTTTTAGTACATTTGTGTGTCTCACTGGTTTACTTACCGTAAGGAGTGGCGTGTGGAGCGTGGAATGCTGCTGCTGCTGACCGGCGAGGGCAGATTGCTGTCACCATGGAGATCTTCTATAGATCTGCTCCAGGGAGTCTCCACAGACGCCTCACCACTAGCACCCTCTGCTACATCGCCATCAAAGCTGAGGTACAGAAAGATATGTAAGTATATATGAAAATTATAAAAGTGTGCACAAGACTCATAGAACACTTATCAGGGCCCCTACAATTATCAGATGGTAGCACCAGCACCTGATTTGATGGCACCTTTATTTGTTGCAGTCTGAGGACTCAGTGCAGAAGTATGAAAAGGAGAAAGATCTGAGAAGGTGCAACAGTATTAAATATGCAACTCAATAATGTTCAAAACTCAATTAGCCCCTTTAATGGCCAGGACCCACCAGCTGGCCCATAGTTTTATTACACACATCTGTAACCTAAGAATAGCTCAGACAGTTTGCACAGTAGGCCACGTAATTACTAAATAATAAGACTTGGTATGTAATAAGCCTGGGATTATCAGGAGTCAAGCACAATCAGGAACATTAAAACATTGTAAAATAAAATGTTTTTAAATATCTCAAATAGATCTGTGTGTCAACAGTAAATAAAAAAATATTTTGTAATTTAGCGAATTTAGTATTACCTGCTGTGTTCCAGACTTTGTAAAATGCACAAAGAATTTAATTTTTTTTCTTTTAATTTTGCTTTCTTAAAAGGATCTACATCCTAAATGTGTCGTGTATTTTATTTTCTCCTCTCAGGTTCACAGGTATGTGGTTTTATATACCAAAACAGTCATAATTCAATGTATATTACGATGTTTTACCCTCTCTTCTTCCCTTACAATCAAAACAGGCTGTTTTGTTACATGCATACGAGCTCTGCTTTGACTGTCCACCCTGTATTCAGCCTCATTTAAAAGGCAGTCCGGGCTGAAACGCTCCTTATAACTTCATTGCAAATGGGCGGAGCTAAATTGCTGCATGTGTATATACATAAATGTATTGGTTTTCATGACATCAGAAACACAATGAATTCACAGTGAGCTATTTGTGTGGCTTAGTTTTCTTACACAGACTTTATGGACTGGTGAGTGAATGGTACATTGTAAAAACATATTTAGCTCCCCCCTGCTGCCGTAACATTTCATCCCACTCCTGCAGAAAATCTGCACCATTTGTCCCGCTTCTGCCCGCAACCTAAACATTCTGTCCCACTCCCGCCGTCCTGTATAACTGGTTTCCATCTGCATTTGTCAAGACTAAAACTAACGGCTGCAGGTCAGACTTGTCTATAACCAGCTTTAATGTCATGTATTCACTTTTATTAAGAGGACTTTCCACAACCGCAGCCGCCTGACTGTCTAATAGCTCCGCTGATTCTGTAACCTACAATAAAGAAATTCATGCAATTCATGTGATCGTTCATGTGATTGGTTGCTTCTATTCTACTTGTTTAGAACTTCAATTTAGAATTCTGCTATAGTTTATTATTTCTATTTATTCATTTTTTTTTTTTATTCTTTCCCAATTTTCTCCTCAATTTAGTGGTCTCCAATTCCACCCGCTAGTTAGGACTCCCCCAATCACACAATACCTCCTACGCTAGGAGGGCGAAGGCTAACACAGGCTTCCTCCGAGACCTGTGAAGAGCCACCGCATCTTTTCGCACTGCCACTAATGCAACGTCGTTGGACAGCTGAACGCGCTCGGAGGAAAGCGCCAACTGCTAGTTCCTTTATGTCAGCTAACAGACACCTGCGCTGACTAGCATTGCGCTGAGTGATGGGGGGAGAAGTGGGGGTCCATCCTACCCACCCAGAGAGAGCGAGGCCAACTGTGCTTTCTTGGACTTCCAGCCACGGAGGGCTGTAGCATCATCAGGGATCGAACTCGTGCTCAGACGGTTGCGCCACCTGGGAGCCCTGTAGTTAATTATTTTTTGTTACTCTGCTGTTAGATATTGTTTACATATGCAAATTATTAAGTGATACATATCATTTTATTTTGGCTATTCATTAATTTGCATGATTTCTCCTCACACGTGTATTGTCTTTCTGCCACCTGCACTTGGATGGTTAACTACCCACTCCTGCATGTGACGCTGAAAATGACCCCTGTGCCACAAGATATTGTGGTGGGTCCTGCAGGACCTGTACTGACCTTTCAAGGTGTTATAGCACCAGTCAGACTTCTGTTGACCCATGTATTGAGACCCATGAAGTGTCTCAATAAATGCATTTTCTGCTTTCTTTTATTAGCATAGATTTGCCTCTACTCAACGGAAGAAAACGTACTGTTTTTTGCAATGTAAACAAATAATGAAAGGTAACAATTGTGGAAAATAACTGCCATATTTATGATCAGACGATTTTGTAATAATTGCGACAGGCCTATCTTTTTCTTCATGGAATCAGCTGAAGCAAAGGAAGGAAGAGCACAACAAGGATACAGAGAGAGAGACAGACAGACAGAGGATGACAGATGGAGGGAGGGAGCCACTCTACTTACGTAACAGCATATTGTGCGAAGGACAGGTACTCCACTAGCACGTCCAACCCTTGGTTCTCTTCATTCAGAAACTCTCTCACCCACCTGAGAGCACAATAAAATCACTCTACACACGCCATCTTGAAAGCCATGTCTGAATCAGTCTTCGCAGGCCTGAAATGACCACCCAATCTTGCCACTTCAGGTGAACCTGCCACTCACCCAATATGATTAGTTCGGAGTGAAATTTCCAGCTCACGGAGCACTTGAGTGGATTCCTGAACTCTCCTTCTGAATTTCTGTAGGAAAAAGGACAATATTTCAGAACCCCAAAACAAGAAAAACATCATGCACCACTCAAAAAAAACACCTTTGCTCAGAAATACTTCTGAAATCAAATTTACTAATTTTCTACTTACCCTAAATTAAGCCACCCAAGGCTTGTTTGGTGCCTGAACTTCTTCAGCTTTGCACTAAAGCTAGGGCTAATGTAGTTAACAAGAAATGTCAGCTTATAACTATCAGTGAGCATCACGCAAACTGGATGCCTTAATCATCAGACACTTCTCAAACTTTTGTAATCTCAAACAGATTTGCTTATGTGTTTTTTGATAATGTAAAACACACCATATCCATAAAAGTCTAAAATACAGTAAATTCAGGCTACGGCTACTGTTTTTCACCTATGCTTTGTCTATTAGGAAATCAAACATGTTTTGGATGAGCAGCAGCACCTGAGGTAAGGGGAAAGACGTGTAGATCACATTTTTCACCCGTACTATTCCATTAAGCTGTGGGGTACTCGTTTCTATCTGCGACAGGAAGAATGAAGGGCTCTCGCTTCCATTACTTCCACATTCTAAATGAACTGAATAATGCAGGAGACATTTTTCTTGTTGAGAACTGCACCATGCAGTTGCTTCTTTGTAGCCTGTGTGCCAGGCTTGCATACAGAGGATATGCAGGTCTCTTGAAACTCAAACACATGCTGCATCCAATGAATCACCACAAACTTCCACACAGACATATATACACCTATTCAGAGTTAAAAGGTCTGGTCACTCAACATCATAGAAAATAAAAGGCATTTTAGACCACACATGGTAACTGTGCACTACATGTTTTTTCTAGCATATTTTTTAAAATAAGTAAAATAATCTGCCAATACATTCGCAGAAATAAAGGTAGTAAACTGTCGCTGGGGCAGTTCCCCTCTTGTCACTGGGGTTGTACCATCAAGGGTCCATCTCAGTACCTTTAGTCAGGGAACATAACTGTACCATAATCCACTGAAATGATATTTTCTAAGCTGTACTGACTCCACACACCCCGTCTCGTCTCCAGGCTTTTATTTTATTGTTCTGTTTTAAATCATTTGCTTATGAAAAGGTACAAACACATACTTTTCACCTGAAAAAAACTTATTTAGGGTGAACAGTTGGACCTTAAAACCACTGCTGTACCTTTGAGGGAACATTTACATTGTTTGTACCCTGATTTATGAAAAATGTACCTGTACAGTACCTTTATTTCTGACAGTGCATAGTGAGAATTTCACTTAACAAAACTGCTTAAAACAAATGTCTAAAATTATTTAAATAATCTTAAAATACACTTATAGTAATCAGTAAATAAGAAATATTAGACATGTTCATTAGACAGATCCCATTTTTTGCAGTGTGGTGTTCAATTCCCAGGGCTGGCAAACATATCACACAATACCAAATAGAGTCCTTGAGTAAGACTTCTAACGGTACATCGCCTTCCTCTGTAACATGATCAAAAGTCTAAATTTGGCAGACGATCTTATTCAGACTTTTAATCTCTGTAACATGATAAAAACATCTGCCAGATGCATAAATTTAAATGCAATAACAAATGCATGGTGTAATGTTACATGAATTAGGTCCACTTCTTAGTTGCTCACTAAAACAAGCAGACAAATTGTGGGTGAAGCGGACTGTAAACGTTAAACTAATACTGCACCTACATTTGTAAGCAGAAGAGATATTTTCTCATTGAATTTGATGTAAAGTTATTCAATTGTTGATATTGACCATAAATGAAATGTGAATGTAATTCATTATGTGACTAAGTAAATGTGAAACTACATTTAAATACCAAAAGAAAACATCAATAATAACTCTAGACTTTAAAAGGTTAACTTCTTCTCAGTGTCACTTTTCAAAGCATGAAGATGATTATTATCATCGGTTCAGACGTTGATTCAAAACATACCTTTCTTGTGACAGCTGGGTCAAGAAATCCTCTCAGCTTTTGGATGTAAGTGTGGGGAGGGTTCTTCACCTGGAAACGCTCCTGTTTACATGTAAATACACACAGAGACGATTTCTCAGTTCACTTCTCATAAAACAAATTTAGTGTGCTGAATGCAAAACGCAACCAAGATTAAACAAATCACTTGCACCTCTGCAAAATTAATGACCCCCCACTGACCCACCTCCTGTCCTGCTACATTACTGAGCCAAATGTGCTGCAAAAAAGCATCAGTCCCACCCCATCACCTCTGAACTCCCGCTCCTACCCTGCACGCTTCTGGAGAGAAACATCATCATTCATTATTCATACCTCATTCGCTCAGTCACCTCACCAGACGCATCCACCAAACTCAGCCATGGTCTGCCTGGCCTACCTCAGTGTAACCATGGCGACATGGCATGGTGGATGCTGCGGGTGTGTATTAATAAGGAATCTATGTTTACTGAATAGTGGGAGTTGAAATCAGTGTGTGATCTGAATGGGGGGAGGGCAATAAAAAAGCCTCATGGTGACACCCATTACATAGTTATTACAGCTGCTATGTCTATTACAGAGGAACATGAACACTGAAATGGTTCCACACGGCCAATGTTCCTCTGCTACTGTGCAAACTAGATGAACACGCCTGCACTGACTGGCGCCGGAGCAAAACACATTTTAATCAATGTTTCTTACAACAATCAGGCATAACATTATGACCTTGTTTCTACGCTTTGTTAGCCCCCTTTTACCCTGTTCTTCAGTGGTCAGGACCCTCTTTCGGACGAAACTTCAGTGGCTCAAACTTGGTTTCATGGTCAAATCAAAAGTATTTTGCCTCTACAGGGGTCTAATTATATACTGCACAGTTTGTTTTTCGCGCGGACAGTTAAAGTTCTCCAATAAACCCTTTTCCAAACGCCTGCAATGCCACCCTAAAAACTTTATTATTATAATAAAAGTATCATTTATAACCTAAATAATTAAACAATTTACAAATTTAGAACTCCCCCGCAAACCCTCATAGTTTATGATTGACTAATAAAAGGCACAGTTAATTGAGCATGAGTGCATAATATAAGCCCCTCCCCCTCTCCTTGTTTCTACGCTCATTGTCCATTTTATCAGCTCCACCTACTATATAGATGCACTTTGTAGTTCTACAGTTACAGACTGTAGTCCATCTGTTTCTCTGCATACTTTGTTAGCCCCCTTTACTCTGTTCTTCAGTGGTCAGGACCCCCATGGACCCTCACAGAGCAGGTAGTATTTGGGTGGTGGATCATTCTCAGCACTGCAGTAACACTGACGTGGTGGTGGTGTGTTAGTGTGTGTTGCGCTGGTCTGAGTGGATCAGACACAGCAGTGCTGCTGGAGTTTTTAAACACCTCAGTGTCACTGCTGGACTGAGAATAGTCCGCCAACCAAAAATATCCAGCCAACAGCGTCCTGTGGGCAGCGTTCTGTGACCACTGATGAAAGACTACAGGATGACCAACACGAACTGTTCAGCAGCAGATGAGCTATCGTCTCTGACTTTACATCTACAAGGTGGACTGACAAGGTAGGAGTGTCTAATAGCGTGGACAGTGAGTACCTGCTCTGTGAGGGTCCATGGGGGTCCTGACCACTGAACAACAGGGTAAAAGGGGGGCTAACAAAGTATGCAGAGAAACAGATGGACTACAGTCTGTAACTGTAGAACTACAAAGTGCACCTATACAGTAAGTGGAGCTGATAAAATGGACAATGAGCGTAGAAACAAGGACATACAAGGACATAATGGTCATAATGTTATGCCTGATCGGTGTATTTTCAGTACCATTAAATTTGTTGTAAGGTCTTAGACTTTTTGACACTGCACTGTAGGCCTTTTTAATCTTTATTATTTTTGGTCAAATTTTTTGACAGTTTTTCTCTTTCGGACGAAACTTCAGTGGCTCAAACTTGGTTTCATGGTCAAATCAAAAGTATTTTGCCTCTACAGGGGTCTAATTATATACTGTACAGCTTGTTTTTCACTCAGACAGTTAAAGTTCTCCAATAAACCCTTTTCCAAACGCCTGCAATGCCACCCTAAAAATTTTATTATTATAATAAAAGTATAATTTATAACCTAAATAATTAAACAATTTACAAATTTAGAACTCCCCTCGCAAACCCTCATAATTTATGATTGACTAATAAAAGGCACAGTTAATTGAGTGTGAGTGCATAATATAAGCCCCTCCCCCTCTCTATCCTCTGTACTCTGATAGGAAGCGACCAGATGCCTAGTTTTGATTCCTGACAGTGACTTTTTTTTCACAAAAGAATGAGGGGCATATCAGTGACACAGGTTTAAATTTCAGTACTGTTTCATTTCATGTCAATAACCCAGACACTGTCCCAAAGCAGCTTTATAGAAATCCAGAACCCAAATTAGAAGTTTTGGCAACAGTGGCAGAATCAATCCCTAAGAGCATGAGGAGGAACACAGAGAGGAACCATGACTCCAAAGGAAAATCCATTCTTCAGTGCACAGGGGAATTATGATACACTAAGAATCCGAACCCCAACGAACCAGGGAACTAGATCTATTGTCTGGACCAATGAAGTTTATTTGTTGTGCGCACAGGTTCCAGACAACCAGCCAGCCCGTCAGACATTGGACTGACACAGTTTTATAGTTGGACTGATGCCAGGATTAGACCTAGCTTATAGAGGACAAGTAACAGGTGTGACAAACATAACCATCTAGGGAGAAACACAAAATAGGCAGCCTAAAATACAACTTCAGCAGATTCACATACACTCTTCATAACGTATAACACAGAGCATTTCACAACAATATTCCTTCATACAAGTACTACACGTTTACACATATACAAACACGCTTCTTAAAAATATAGACTTTCTCTTGCTTCTATCCTTCTGAGACAAAGCATTTGATAATATCTGATGATAACATCCTTCCAGCAGGTCTGGAATGTTGTAAGGTCTGCTGTATTCTTTCAATCTAGCAGTAACTCTTAGCCCCGTAACCTGCAGGTTTCTGTTATTAATCTTATTGTCCAGTTCTTACTGTGAATTATATACTAACGTGAGGTATAGTTGTGAGAATGATGATTCTTTAGACTGTAAGTGGTTAAGAATCTCATGCTCTTTACATTTCAGAGTAGTGCATGACACAGCATTTCCAACAAGCTTGACTGACAGCGGTTAGCGATTCTGCAGAGATGCTTTGCAGCTTCACTCACTCACCTGGTCACAGATCAGCTCCCACTTCTTCTCGTTGTCATACTGCCGCAGAATCCTCACCTTGTCTGGCGGAAGGTTCATGGAGTTCTAAGAGGCACACAGAGTCATCCATCAGTCTAGTAATAGAGCACATACAAAGACTCCTATTGTAGCCTATTAGAGCTGGATTAGCTTTTCGGCTGGATTTATATGATTTTAATCGAGTACAAATCTGCAATGTGTGTAGTGTTTACAAGTCGATGAAACTGGAGCTGACTCAGTAATACAATCTTAAAAAAAATGGTGCCAAAAATAATTCTTTGAAGAGATATTGTAGAAGAACCTCTTAGGGTTCCTGAAGAAATACTCTTGGTTCCCTAAGGAACCTCTTAATGCATGGCTCTTAAAATAATTTCTGTAAATTAGAGGTGCAAGCAGAACCCTTTCAAAGTTTAAACAGCGAATCCTCTACCATAAAATAGGTACCATGTGCTGGATGGCTTGGATGAGATACAGACATTAGGATGTACCTGACAGGCTAACATTTGCTTTCTACCATTCACTTTTTATATGGTATGCATTCATTTTTTGGCCAGGGTAAAATTCTCTCTCTTTCACTAAATGTAAAGTTTCTATACCAATCAATGTTTTTCCAAGAACACTAACGTCCAAGCGAGTGGTTGCCAACACTGGCCCTCATTCACCAACCATTTTTAGGAAGAAATTTCTTCCTAAAACCCTCTAATGCAGGTCACAAAGATTCTGACATTCAACAACATTTTCTTTTTTGGAATGTGTTCTTAGGTAAGAACAGAATCTACACACACTCAAAAGCATAAGGATGCGAACAGTTATGTGGTTTAAGAACACGTCATGAGTCTGACTTTTTCATAAGACCTTTCTCATGAACAAATTTATGAAAAACCTTAGGAAGATATTGGTGAATGAGGCCCAGTGGTCCTAGAAAACTCGCCTGCTTTGCATATTTAAGTGTTTTCCAACTAATCAGCGAACTATCAAGTCTTTCCTGACTCAAAGTTGCTTGTTAGAACCTTTGATCCAAGTCAATAACCATTTAGGAAACTTTATTGTTAAGACTATAGTCATGTTCAAATTAACTTTACAGATAGCAGAGCCTCCTAACAGACATGGCCATGTGTCATGTGTAATGCTAATGTGAACACTGGGCTGCAACTCTTCAACCTGGGGAAAAAAACACCAATGTTCATTCTACAAAAATAGAGACTCAAATCTCTTACACATTAAATTACACAACTTTTATTGGTAAATCTATTCCAGCTTGAATAGCGCTTTAGCCTAGATGGGTATTGAATGCCTGACAGGCCCTGTTCACACCTGGTATTAATATCTGTATGTGATACGGTGGACAGCGAGGCTACGTTCACATTATTGTGACACCCTATTGGTCCATTCTGATTTTTTGCTCAGATCTGATCTTTTAACCTTAAGGCTTCACGTTTGTAACTTATCCATATCTGTTTTTAGTGTGAATGAACCGCACATCCTAATCAGTAACGTCAAGTGAACGATCTGCATGCGTCACGAATTACAACAACAAATGAACAAACTAGCAACATAAGCCTTCATTGCAAAGATCAACAGCTCTCATGATTAGAGAAAAAGGCCAAATACTTTAACGCTCTTGCAGGTTTACTAAGAGAAATTTCAAATTAGCAGCTTCTGTTGTGCTACGAACACAGAATGACAACATGTGCATGTGCAGTGAAAAGAACACAATCCAATCTGAATCTCGTCATTAAGGTTGTACGGTCAAGAATCAGATATGCATCCATACGTATCCATTCAAACTGCAGGTAAAAGTGGCCAAGGTTTGATTTACTGCCCAAATCTGATTTTGTTGTTTGGTCGTTCACAAAATCTTTTTAATGTGGCCTGTATCTGACAAGATTGTGAACTGACCCCTTGTGCAAAAGAACCAATCCATCCACAGTGCTCATCCAACAAACAGTGCTGTTCTCTATATTTCCTTAACATTAATAGACTCTTTTCACGTTACACTGAACTTAAATGTGTGTGAACTGATAATTTAACTCACATGTTTCAGGCTGCAGTCCTTGCGGGCCAACACACTGCAGACTTCAGCAAACTGCCTCATTAAACACACTTGATGCAGCTTATTATCTAAATAACAAGGCCTTTAGGAACTAAATTCAGAGTGTTGGATGAGGGTACGCACTGATCTCCGCAGCACTTTGGCCCAGAAGGTCCCCAGTTTGACATGCCTGCTTTAACCCATTAAAATCCTGGACTTATAACATACTTATTATTCAGTAACTACACAGACGGCAAAGCAAAGCAGCTGAGTTATTCTTAGGTTATTGAAGTGTGTGGTAAAACTTTGGGCCTGCCAGTGGGCCCTGGTCATTTAGGGGGTTAAACTTGCAGGACAAACAGCAGACACTAAAATGAAACTAATGACACTAAAAAATTACAGAGAAAAGTGCAACTTGTGATTTTTTGTGCTTTTCCAAACAGAGAAAGGAGGTTTCTGTTTCTTTCGTTTACTTGCTTTAAAAAAGAATGTTAGCAAAGAGGCACATAAACAGACTTCTGTGTGTCAGCTTCCTTTGACTCTCTTGTTTCTCTCTTTTCTCAACATATTCTTGAAGTAAACATGATTCTGAATAGCTGTTAGTTTCATTTTTCTCATTAAAAGCACTGCGTTTTGCATTATTTGTTTACACTGCCTGCGCTTGTCTCACTCGTCCACCATAAGAGGTGTAACCATAGCAGTGCAATATGATGACATTGCCATAAAGGGTCTGTTCCTGTCCATGCAAAATTATGATGAAAATTGAGTTGGATTGACATAAATCCAACTGAACTTTATTCTAATGAATTCCGATCCGCCTGTTCGGACAGAAGTGACGTTGCCACATCTCAGATATGCATCGGATTTCAGTATCGCTTATTAAAGCCAAAACTGAATTGAAACTGTCAGATTCAAGGCTACCTTCCAATTTTTTCCTCAGATTTGATCTTAACTTGATGGCTCACGTTCGTGTTGGCAAGTATCCTAAAACGACCCGCATGCACACATCTTAATCAATACTATCACACGAGTTAACTTCATGTGTCAACAAGCAAACAAACTAGCAAAACAAGCTTTCGTCACATAGATCATTTGCTCTGAACAGCTCTCAACTGTTTATTATTAGAGCAAGACCAAGTAGAAAAAAGGGTCAGATACTTTTGGACCGTTTACTGGCACTACCTTCAGGTTAGGTGCTGCTGCCATGGTAACGCTGAATGAGGATGCATGTGAGATGGAATAAAACACATTGTTCTCTTTAAGGTAACAGGCTCACAAATCGGGTCTGTATCTGATTCAGCACCACATATGTACAGCTGCGTTCACATTACCAGGCTGAAGTGGCACAAATCCGATTTTTGCCCTAACATCAGATCTGATATTTTCAAATTAGGCCTTAGCCACTTTCATATGTGGTCCTAGACTGGATACATATCCAATTCATCGCCATGCAACCTTAATGAGAACGCTCCAATGTGTTTTTTTCACTGTGCACCATGTGGCAGCAGCGCCTAACCTGAAATTAGTGAAAGTAAATGGTAGAAAAGCAACACCTCACCCTTTCTGCCTTCATCTCACCTTAACAGTGAGCAGCTGAGTGGTGTTCTGAGCAAATCTTTGCGATGAATGCTTGTTCTGCTGGTTAGTTTGTTTGCTATTCCATGACGCATGTGATTTCTTCATGTGACGTTACTGATTATGATGTGTGCATGTAGGTCATTTCAGGACACTGGTTCTTTAACATTAATCACAGGTTTGAGTCACTTACCTAAACAAATGAACCATTAAGTAAACCATTAGAGAGATCGGATCTGAGCAAAAATATGATATTAGCAGTGAGGCTTGTAATGTGAATGAAGCTAAAGTGACAGGTCACATTTGAAAAGATCTGATTTGTGTGTCCACTCTAAAAACATCAGATCTGTGTCACACTAAGGCAAAAAAATGGATTTGTGCCACTTCAGCCTGGTAATGTGAATGCAGCTCAAGTGTGTCTTTCTGTTCACACTGTTACACAAAAAAACCTGTGTGGCATATAAAGAAAAAGGCCAGATTTGGGACACTTTTACTTGCAGTGTACACACAGCCAAACTGGCTCAGAGCTGATCCAAAAAGATCAGATTTGAGTTTACAAACAGCTCTGAAAACATCAGATCTGTGTCACATTACGGCAAAAAAAACATTTTTGTGCCACTTCAGCCTAGTAATGTAAATATAGCCCAAGTGTGTTTTTTGCTGTTCATACTGTTACACAAAAAACAAACACACGGCATATTAGTAGAAAAAGGCTGGATTTGGGCCTCTTTTACCTGCAGTGTAAACACAGGCAAAGTGGCTCAGATCTGATTTGAAAAAATCTAATTTGTGTGTACACACAACTCTGAAAACATGAAAGGCAAAGGCCAAAAATCAGCTTTGTACCAATTCAACCTGGTAATGTGAACACGGCCCTATGTATTTTAAAAGTGACCGACATGGGTTTTTGGGCTGGAGGACGTGTGTCATGCACATTTATGACAGTTTGCTGCATTTGTTGTCATGCAAAAAACAAATCCCACAAGTGCTGTCAGGGATGGATCAGGACCTAATTGCTCTGATGCGTCCCTGACTAGCTTCTAAGGTAGTCTGAGTGATCTTGTTCACACCTGTTCTTACTGCCATTCACTTATGATCAGATCACCCAGGAAGTGTGTTAATGCCAGGTGTGAACGGCCCCTCATAGAGGAGGGACGAAAATGCATAGCTCATACCATCGTTTTGAAGACACGTGTCCACTTCAACTAGTTTCTGGTCACGCTAGTTTGTGGAGCTGAACGTAGATCATGTGTCTCCTTTAACTACCATGACTAATGATCAAACTGGACATGGTGAAGTCAGCTCATGTGTAGGAGTCAGACAGAAAGGGAATGTAATTCAGCATGAAAATGTCCACCTACAATAGACACCACAGTGCTCTGCTTTGCCACAAGCGTGCTCAACCTAGGAGGAGTCACATATATGCTCCAAATGTAACCACAGATGTATTTAGTCTCTGTTGGAAATGACAGGCAGCCTCTCAGATCTGTGAATGATCAATCGACAAAACGGAGGAACGATGCTTCAAAATATGAGAGGGAGAGACTCAGAGTCTCAGACTGCGCAGTCAGTCCTATTGGGTCAGAATTTGTGATGCAAATCGGCGAAAACGAGGCAGCAAAGAACGATTTGCATTCCCTCCATTTTCTCTGTCTCCCCTCTCCTCGCATCCACACACACACGCACACAAACAAAGTAGTTCCACTGATTTTTGCATTTTTAAAAAACTTCAGCGTTCATCTCGTCTTTGATTTGATCTTGTCGCCTCTGAACACGGCTCTCTTTCTGCTCTGCGCCAAAAAAAAACAAAAAAAAACAGCAGCGATACTCAAGTGACACATCCAAAATAAATGCTGTCAATCAGATTACAGAGCTCAGCGGCCGCACATTAATCAGGGGAGCTGTAGGAACCCTTTAACTTTAAGTGAGGACAGAACCTCACTGACCAACACCACACAAAAAACCATCCAAACTTCCTTAGTCATTCAAAGCATTGAGAAAACAAATTAGACTAACCCGAGGCCCATCCCTACATCAACCCAAGCCAAGCTGAAAAGGTTCCAGAGCTCATCCAAACCCAAAGGGACCAAAGCAATATTAAAGGGACCATAATCTACATTTTCTTGTATTTAAGTTTTTATTCTTTATAACAGTTTTATCTACTAAAACAACCATGCTTTACTTTTACAGGACCATTTTCCATCTCTCTTCATCCCTTAGAATAAAACAGACTTATTCTTGTTACTTTGCATTTAAGACTGATATATGTAAATGAGATCTATTCTAATTGGCTGGCCTGTTTTCAGCCTCATTCAGAAGGCAGTCCTGCCTGAAACACTTCTTACAACTTCAGCACGAGTGGGCAGAGCTGAGCGGAGACAAACTAACATTGTAAATGCTTTGTTTTTTGTGACATCAGAAAAACATCAGCCTGCTTTTGCAGTCTGGTTTCCATATATGGAGCGAATGACTATTTTTGATTTTTTTTAAGTGAGGACAAATTCATTTTTCCATGATATGGACCCTTTATTTCATTTCAGCACATGCACATCAGGAAAAACAGACAGGTGAGCTGCCTGAATTTGCTGGAGTGGCTGATCAATGAGCAAAACTGCTGCAACGCTGCACTTCCCAAACCGTGGCTGCACGTCAAAACGAGGAGCCTAAAAACAAAAGATCTCCAAGGCGAGCGAGCAGAGTGGCCTAGGCGATGCTAAGATCCTGGATTATAACGTGAGGGTCTCATATTTTACTCATCGCAATAAAATTACAGCCGAACTGGCACGCAAGCGATGAATCACAGCCAATGTGAGACGCTAAGGGGCCATAATAGGCAGTAAAGTAGCCCGCTTGTAGCTGATTAGCTGCTATCATCCAGGCGCAAGGCTTCAAAGCGAGAGCACCCAGCAGCCTCCACACAATGGACCTGTGTGTGCGCGCGCGTGTGTATGTGTGTGTGTGTGCTAGCAGGCGATCCGCCACCTACAAAAACACGACCCCTGCCATTTTCTATCTTCCCCTTCTAATACAAAACCACCAAAGACCCTCGGGGACACTGCCAGAAATTACCAAAGCGATGGAGAATCTCTCTTCCAGCTCGGCCGGGTCCGGCATGGGCAGTTTGGGGGGTTTGCTCCTCGCCCTGAAGTCCGTGAGCTGGGCATCCATGCTCTCCGCGTTCCCCATGGTTTCTTGTTTTGTTGTTGTTGCTCGGTCTCGTTCGGCACCTCCGCTGCTTTTATCACGCGAAGCTCGTCTTTATCGTTATATGTTGCGCTTAAATCTTAAATCTGTGAGGAAGCTGATGGGGAGGGGGGGACGATGTCGCGAGCTCCAGCCCTTACAGATGCTCTCCAGAAGGGATAAAACCGCCACAACCACAATAAGCGAGCCTACATCTTTAATCCGTGGCGTCCGTCGTCGTCGAGTCTCCCGGTCTCCTCCGCCGCTGCCGTCCGTTAGAGCATCTCTTCTTCCAGTCCGGTCCGGTCAGCGTGGGAGGGAAGCCGCTTTGTCCGTCTCCAGCAGCTCGGCTAACGGCTCCGTGCTCGTGAGCGGCTCGAGGACGGGCATGGCTCGCGCACTCGCGGTGGTGTGCGGCGAGCGAGCTGGCTAGTTAATCCGCGGTGTGTGTCTGTGTCTGTATCTGTGTGTGTGGAGAACAGACGGAGGCTCGGCCGTACGCACACTGCCCTACCACCCCCCCCCTCTCTCTCACACACATACACACCACACACGCACCACACACACACTCACCAAACCATTCAGTCAGACACAATGAAGGCTTTGAGCATCGAGCCCCTGCTGGGGCGTGCCAAAAAGCTGAGTCCGGGGAGGAGGAGGAGGGGGGCAATGTTTTGTTCCGTTGCATGCCGGTAAATGCAGTTCGGAAGGAGCCAGGCGAGCCTGCTTTGTTTCTATAGTGCTGCGTTTTGTTGCAGGGTTGCTGTTCGGTGCTACAGGCCTGTAGACTGAGATTTCCAAGGCATGGTCTTTTGTCTTAAGCCCTTTTCGAGCTGGATTAGTTCTATCTGGGGAGGTCCTGAAATTTTAATGGTAACTAACGAACTAATCCAGAATGAATCTGCCATGTCTGTAGTTTTTTTAAAAATATAATTTCGAAGTGATTTACCTTTTATCATTTCCTGAACTTGGAGCTCCCTCAGTAATAGTAGTGCTGTTAGAATCGATATCACAGTGTAATAACAAAACTGGGTCATAGAAAACAACTCCTTGATTTTTTTTGCAACCTGAAGACAAGGCTAACACCTACACCGATCAGGCATAACATTATGAGCACCTCCTTGTGTCTACGTTCATTGCCCATTTGTGTGTTGCGCTGGCATGAGTGGATCAGACACAGCAGTGCTGCTGGAGTTTTTGGTTGGTGGACTATTCTCAGTCCAGCAGCGACACTGAGGTGTTTAAAAACTCCAGCAGCACTGCTGTGTCTGATCCACTCAGACCAGCGCAACACATACTAACACACCACCACCACATCAGTGTTACTGCAGTGCTGAGAATGATCCAGAGTACCTGCTCTGTGAGGGTCCATGGAGGTCCTGACCACTGAAGAACAGAGTAAAAGGGGGCTAAAAAAGTATGCAGAGAAACAGATGGACTACAGTCTGTAACTGTAGAACTACAAAGTGCACCTATATAGTAAGTGGAGCTGATAAAATGGACAGTGAGCGTAGAAACAAGGAGGTGGTCATGATGTTATGCCTGATCGGTGTAAATGAAGATTTGACCCAATTCATTAATCCTCAAGTTCATGAAAACACCACAGAATTTCTAGTGAGGGGTGCATGTCTTCAGACAGCGAGCATATATCGGTCCACTGGCTTGATAACCAACTCAGCGTTTTCTTGGCGACCCACCCGTGGTTAAGCAGAATAATAGACAAAATTCCACTTATCGCTCATTTTCTACTCATAGTCCAATTTATTTTACCAGCTTTCTTTAGTTATACATTATAAATTAGTTCAGTAAATCATTTTAATCATCTGTAATTTTAACAGTGTCAGCAACAACATTTTCTAGAAAATTATTTCACATCAGGCTGAGTGATTATTTTTTTTCCCTTAGTTGTTTGTAATATTTGTCTTAGTTTATTTATCTAAAATGAAAAGCTCTGTGTATTTAAAATCTGTTAGAGGAGATTAAAAAACGATTTACAGCTTGTATGCAGGACAATAATCTGGGTGGTCCGAGGATGGACCAGCAGTGACAAATAGCCAGCGGGGTGCGACCTTATCAAGCCAGTGGACCGATATATGCCCGCTGTCTGGGTAGCAGTTATGGGTGCAGGCTTTTGATCCAACTAAGCAGTTGCACATTGCTTGCAGCACCTTTCAGGAAAAATATCGCATTGAGTAAGTGGTTCTCAGCTTTAGGACTGGAATTCCCTGGTTTAACAAAGCTGATCCAACTATCAGCTAGGCTAACTAACAACCCCTTCCTGAGTTGAAGTGGGCGTGTCAGAGCAGGAAAAACACTACGGGTAGATGTCCAGGGTTGTGTCTCACAAAGCAGAAAGCCAGATAGCTGTACACTTCCAGAATCTAACCCTGGATTTTCTGTCACATGATTAGGGATTAATTTTAAGATAACTTTTACGGTTAAGTTCATTTTTACAAATTGTAAATGGCATAAACCAATCCAGGCTAAACTTCTGAAACCCTTAGTTTTTTTTTTTTTTAATTGCTGCACGGTCACATAAAATCAAGACACAAAAAGAAGGATGATAACAACTATTTGGACACCACTTCATGATGTTTGTGGTAAAAAGCCAGTAAAAATATGAGGAACATTAAATCATATCATTAAAAATCAAAAGCAATTTTATCGTCAGAAAATAAGACAATGAAAACAAGACAGTGGCAAATTGTTAGGAACTCTCACTAAATCAATTAGGAAATTACATTGTGTAGTGGTAGTTTAAGGCAGCTGGTATCTTGAAGATGTTTCATCAGTCACCCAAGGGGCATCTTCATTTTGAAGGGGATAAATGTCGTAAAGATTAAACCCCACGTTCAGTCGCCTCAACTGAGTACACTCTCAGAAAAAAACATACCTTTCAGGGCAGATATGCTGTCACTAAGGCGGTACCCTCAAGGTACCTCAGTACTTAGGGAACACAATTATACCATATTCATATATATTCATATTCATGTTCAGTTATGAAATTATGTTGTGCATACACCTGTCCTGACTACAAGTCATAAAAAAGTAACAAATATGCCCTTTTCCTGTGGGAAAGTGAATGTAATGTACCTTTGAAACTAATTAAAGGTACACAATCGGACCTGAAGGACCACTTTCAAGGGAACACTTGCATTGTTTGTACCTTGGGGGACTAAAAATGACTGGTACCCTTTTTTCTGATAGTGTAAAAAATGTATCATTAACCCTGTCAAATCCCTTATTACATTCTAAGGCTTATAACTCATTAACTACAGGGACTTCAGTGCAAACTGACTGAGCTATTCCTAGGTTATAGAAGTATGTTATAAAACCTTCGGCCCACCAGTGAGCCCTGTCCATTTAAGGGGGTAAGCAAAGTTGGAGAGCACGTTCGGAAACTGTATGTAAAGTTATCTTACCAAACACACAAACAAACATGCTAAGAGAGGGAATCACTTTTATTTATGCGGCCACTCAAGACTTTGACGTAAACCGGTGATACTGTTTAAAGTTTGGAATAACACTGGATGTGGTCTGTTCGCATGGTTTCACGTTGTCTCCATTCTTATTGCTTAAATGTTTAGTGCACAAACCGGACTATTACTTCTGCATATGGACTGAAGTGTGAAGGACTATTTCTCTCTTAATATGCAAAGTGTAAAACTCACCAAACCCAACTTTCAGTTCTATAGCAATAACTAATTCATTCTCAGAGACTACTCAGAGACACGCAGCATGGAGGCAGAAGCCTGTACAAAGACATAAATAAAGGATGAGGACTTCAGTGGGACCTTCTACACCAAGTTCACCTCGTTATGCCAGTTTGCTTTGTCATGCAATTCGACTAAAAACGGGCAAACAAACCTCTGAACAGAAACAGCACCGACAAACCATTCGCGAGTCGGCTGAAGTGCGCGCGCCACAGATTTACAGACGGTGATCATCAGATTATACAAAATTAACGCTCACTAATGTGGACAAATATCTAAATGTCTTCATGGAACAGCAAATAATCCCACACAATGGCATAAACATAAGTTTTTCTTTGAAAAAAAAGTCTTAAATCTGGTGTCATTGAATGTGCGAATCAAATTATCAGATAAAAAAACTCGATTACTGATTCTTTTTTATACAGTTAGGTCTCCAACAGTGTGTCTGTTGCCTCGGGGCCACAGGCTGAAAGGCACACATCTAACATCACGCTAGGCTACATAAAGGTTTAAATGCATAAAGTGTTTTCACCACTTGAGTGCGCTACAGTGCAGAGCAGAAACAGTGAAACATGCACAAAAAAAAGGTCGACAGGCACTGAAGAAGTCAAAGCGGCGTGACCCGACTCATAAAACATGTGATGACGCACTGGAAAAGAGCCAAAAGAAACTGAAAGTCCAAACGAAGGCACCAAAGTGTTGTTCTACAGTCATTCTCACATTCTACTGAACTGTCCCGAAACAGAGTTCAGCTGTTGATGATTCTGAGAAACCGAGCACACGCTGGAATGTCTTTGAACATCCATTTCATACAAAAAAAAACAAAAAACAGTTTTCACGCTTTTACCATTGCGCTGTAAAGACAGAAGTGAATAAATATTTGCATCAGTGAAAGACTTGCAGCCTGTGTCTATAACAAAAGCAGCAGGAAAAGGAGTGTAAGCTTTAAGAAGATTCAGAGCTCCCACGGTATCCAATCGTCCGTTCGTTCTTCCACCTGTCCTTTCTCCTCATTTGTCCTTTTACTCCTCTTCTTCCTCTTCCTCTTCCTCCTCCCCCTCTCCTTCCTCCTCCTGCATGAACTCCACCATCAGTTCGGCCGTGCAGGAGGCCTCGCCCAAGCTGTTAACCGCCTTGCAGGTATATTTGGCATCGTCGTCGGGACACACCTCAGAAATCACCAGGCTGCAGTGGCCGTCCTCCTCGTAGTCAATCTGGAAGTGGCGCGTCTCTTTAATTGGCTGGTCGTCCTTGTACCACACCACCTCAGGATCTGGGTAGCCTGAATGAAAAGCATTGAATACGTCACTGCAGTGGTTCTCAGCTCCAGTCTTGGGGACCCCCTAAACAGTTTGTGCCCCAACACACCAGCCCAGCTCATAAAGGGCTTGAGAATTCGCTGGTGAGTTGTATTATGTTGTATTTGGACACCAAATATTTCTTTGTTATTTGACCAGATTTGGGATAAACTATTTAAATAGAGCATATTATGAGTGTTAATTACCCTCAATCTTGCAATCGAAGCGGGCGGCGCTGCCCTCCACCACCTCCACATCCTGGATGACCAAGGAGAAGGTGGGAGGCGCAGGGGTGTGGTTCTCATCTTCTGCACTCTCTAGGAATGGCGCAGGGGGTTCTTCTGAATGCACGCACACAAACAGGCACACACGCATGCACACCATTAGAAGCTTGATACATGTTTACCACAAAGATATTACTCTCTGCAGCAGCATAATTAGTATGAAACTGATGGCCGTGCTAACCTGGTTTATTATCTTCTGTTGGGGAGCTTTTCTTTGGGCCAATCCCTGCCAGCATTCCCATAGAGCTGAATCTGGAAATGGCTCGTACTGCGTTCCCTGTTTTCTGCACAGCAAAGATACAAATGCTTAGTTGAGTATACAGTTTCCCATCTTTCCTCTTCACCACATGCATGTTTATCCATTAAAGTGTATTTATTAAAGAAGAATTCCACTGATTTTTAAAACATTCTTTACAGTTCCAAGTCGTTCACCATAACTCAGTGGTCTGATTAAAAATAGTACTTTGCAGAATAACGTACTGGCTGTTTACCTACTTACTGACTTACTGACTTTCTTTACAGTGGTGATGATAGGAACCAGGAGTCGCAGTGTCCACATGTACTACCCAAAATGACCAGTGGACCTATACATGTCTACACATGTAAATGTTTAAAACATTTGCTAAATTTTTCAAATATTTTGCCTAAAAACATCCTGCATGTATCTTTTCACAACAATTGGATAAAAAAATAGTTCAGTAATTTTCTGTGAGGTCTTTGGATTTATGCATTAAATGAATCTGGCTCCTATCGCCACCATTCACTCTATAAGATTCTCCAAAATGGCACATTCATATTAAACTGCTCTGAATGACCACTCAGTACATCCTAATGATTGAATTCAGCAGAAAAGAAAAATCTGTGCACAAAATGATATCTAAGCAAGCAAAAACACCTTAAATGTAATCAGTACATTTCTTTTAATGAGATTGAGCTGTGGTGCGAAGTACCCCATGGTATTCGGGAGGTCCCATCTTGGCTAACTAACTCACTCGCACTGATACTAGCTTCAGTGGCAACAAAATATTTGGTTTAACAATTCTTTTGGAAAAGAATTGGGGTCTTCCACACATTAACCCCTTACAATCCCAACTTATTACATACTAAGGCTTACTATTCAGTAACTACAGGGACTTCAATGCAAACTGACTGAGCTATTAGATTATAGAAGTGTGTAAAAAACTTTGGGCCCACTGACAGGCCTTGTCCTTAAGGGGTTATCTGAAATCTCACATCTCCTCTTTTGTTTTTGGTTTGAGAAATAAGTATCAATTCACTCTTTCCAGCGAAACTCTTGCGAAATTGGGCAAATATTCAGATTTACAAATATGCAATCGCATATTGTAAAGTTTTTCTGGAATATCCCAGCCATAGTTATAGTTGCTAGGCGAGGAAGAACCCACTAGGTGAACTAATTTGCTACAGCGCCATCCTGAGGCAGAGCAATGCTGCATCTATCAGTGCTAAACCTGGACCTTTACCTGAATTTGTATTTGAGCATCTATTTTTTCTCTAACGAACAGAATAACTACATAATAAGTTTATTTTCAGGGACCCCCCCAGAATTTTGATTTTGAGACATTCAGGGGTTCCAAGATGTTTATCAGAGGGCTCAAAGACCTTGCAGGACCACCTGTATTTTGCACCTTGGTTTTAAGAATATTATAATATTGTTCAGCTTATTTATATACATTTTATCACTTGTAAGTCACTTTATTTAGTGAAAGTGTCTTATTCCTATGGCAGATAATTTTGCTCATTTTAAGTAAAATGATCTGCCAATGGAAAGATACTTTCACTAGATAAAAGCACTTAAAATAAGTAAAAAATATCTAGGAAAAAGTTAAATAAGTTTATTATATTCATTCAACAAACTCATCATGAGAAATATTATATATATTGACTAGCTTTAAGATTTTTTTCACTTGCTAAAATATCATTTTTTCGCAGTGTAGAATTCCTCTTTAACTGAAACATCAATCCAAAAGCAACACTGCTGTCTGTTGCACTGTCAGGTTCTCTGACCTGCCATCGGCGTCTCAGTATGTACTTCTTCATGCGCTCCTTGGACAGCTGCTTGGCCTCCATGTTCTTGGTGTCCTGCTTTAGCCAGGTGTGCTCCAGGCACTGGGCACAGCTCAGCCTGGCCCTGCAGCACAAGAGAACACAGACAGGGGGCGCTCTCAGACATACAGTGAATGCAAAGGCATTAAGAGAGCTCTGTGCTGCATAAAACACTGGGGAAGGTGATAAAACCATCAGCACTGTTTTTACTCAAGATGATTATCTGACAAACAGTCACATTAGATGATCACGTTAAAGGAACCTTTATACAACAAACACCCCATATCGTTACATTCATCAACATATCAATAGCTAATTATCATAATGAGTTTATGTGCCTTTGAACTCACTTCATATCTTTCTTGAGTAGGCTGCTGATGAAATCTTTAGCCTGGTCCGAGATCTCATCAAAAGCCTCGTCCTCAAAGTCCCAAGTTGCAGAGGTAACGTTAGCAAGGGTTTCATTGTCGTTGTCCCCCATGAATGGAGAGAGACCACTAACACTAAGGACAAAGAGAGAAACGACGGTTAGATATGAAACCCTGGCTAGGCTTTCATACTGTTCTCCTTACATAGTATATAATGAGTATAATAACAAGAGGCCAAAGCCTTTGCCAACAAATATCATATTCTGTCCATACATTTTTGTCTCATTTGTTGTTTTCCCTGCTTTTGACAAAGGCAAAACAAGTTACAAATAAAGAGTAAATATCAACTGATTTTTATTTTTTTTAGTATTATAGGATTGTTTTGTTATTACAATATTTCACAAATACATTTTTTTAAAGGACATAACAATTTGGTATGCAAAAGTTTGGTGCCCCTGGTCAAATTACATGTTTTGTTGATTTAAGTGAGACAGAGAACACACTTCAAATTATAATGCACATTAGTACTCTTCATTTTATGTATATTATTGTTTATTTTCTAAATGTAATATTTTTGGAAAAAAGATAAAATATAAAAAAGTGGCCTTCTCAAAAGTAATGGCACATTTAATATTGCATGTTTAATATTTTTTGTTATGATTACATGTTTATTTTGACATTTATGTCAAGTTTGATCCATGTAGAGGATGTTTTTACTTATTTTCGTTTATAAAATCAACAAAACATGCCACATGACTGAGGGTGTTCAAACTTTTGCATAAGACCATACAGTATAAAATATGTTTGTTTTCTCATTGGCTGAGGGAGAGGGGCTAGGGTTATTTTGTGGTGGACCAAATCAAATGTCCACATGGGACAACCTTAGAGTATGGGCCATACTTTGGGCAGTCTTGATTTATAATCTTTCGCCGCTACATATATGAACATATTTTTCAGTTTATTCACTAGGCTTTGAATTTTAATGGTTCATGGTCAAGACGGAGGATATCTCACATACAGGATGTAGCAGATAACTCCAATGCTCCACATATCTGTTGGATAGCTGATTGCCTCATAGTTGATCACCTCAGGGGCCACGAACTCAGGTGTTCCAAAGAGAACCTTGAGTGAACCGGAGTCCTCTGAGAACGGCAGAAAAACAGTGTGATTAGTTTCTCTCAAATTACAAGTGAGAAACATGATTAAATCAAGCTTTCAGAGGTCTTTGGGGTATTTAAACTGTGAAAGTACTGAAATACTAAGAGGTTTCCTTGAATACACTGTACAACAAAGCAGTCCAATCATTTTGTCGTAGAACATCAGAATATGGTGATAGGAACCAGGGTTCACAATGTCTACAATGCAAATACAGTCATTTTATTTACTATCCAAAACCATCAGTGAAGCTACACATGCATCTGGTTTTTAACGTGTAATGTTGATAATGATAAAAAGGTAACAAATCTGAAAAAAACACATTTTATTTGGGGACTATCTGGCCGTGCATGTACCTCTCTGGCATGAATAGCTTTTAAAAAATACATTTTATGTCAAAACCTGGTATCAAAACAAAAAAAACCCCACAATGTCTCAGGCATATGGCTACATATACCATATAACCATAACCATTAGTCTAATAATTTTCTATGGGGTAGCGTTTAGAGGTAGTAAATGCTTCGGATGTCTGGTTCCTATCACGACCTGTATATAAAATTCTGTTTCTCTAAAATGGAGCATGTGACTTTGTTTATATTTTATCTTAACCTTATGTACAGAAATGTTGGAACAACCTGTTTATTAGCTACACTTAGTGGAGACTATGTTGACCCCTTGACTGACAGAAAAGACCACCGTGCAGGTGAGTACCTAGCCTTCTCGCAAGGCCAAAGTCGATGAGTTTGATCTTGCTGCCCGTCTTGTTGACGCACATGATGTTCTCTGGCTTGAGGTCCAGGTGCACGATGCCCTGCTTGTGGATGAACTGGACCCCATCGATGATCTGGAGCATATACTTAATGACCTCGCGCTCTGTCAGCTCGAAATCCTCGTCAACGATTCGCTCAAACAGCTCGCCGCCCGAGATCCTGCAGCCAATAGGGGAACAGGCTGACGTCACCGATCAGTGACAGGCCTACTAATCGCCTGGAATTCTACAGTGACCAATAAAAATCAACAAAGGACAGAAAGTGGAAGAGGCAGCGCAGAACGTCATCGGCGCAACACACTTTATCAGCATTTTCCATTAAACAATCAAGACTTATTTCTGTTCCAGGAGCAGCAATAAACAAATCTCATACTCGAAATGAGATTCAAATCTGGGCCTTTTTTCCATCATGGCTGCCAAGCCGAGGCCGAGAGGATCCCTCCTTGGTTCCTCCCTCCCTCTCGTTCTTTAGTGCTATATAAGGACATGTGACAAGCACTTCTCCAATCACACGCCGCTGCCTCTGCATGCTGCTCTCACCATAAAAAGCAAAACTGGCGAAAAGATTTAAGGGTGTTGAGGTGGAAAAAAAACCCACTAGCAAACATCCTGGCTTGTTCAGAAGTGTTCTAGATGAGAACACTCAGCTCTGCTTAACAAGTTAATGTAATCATCGTTTTCACTTTAAAACCCGCGTCATGCTCTTTTCACTTAAAATGCTGCCTTACAGCGTCATAAATGAGACCCACCTGGGTCGTGTTAGCCTTTGTTCTACTTGTTTTTCATAGGTCACACAAGGTGGAGCGGACTTACATTTCCATCACCATGACCATGTCGGACTTGCCCTCGAAGGCGTCCACGCACTGCACGAGCTTAGGGTGGTGGAGGCTGTTCATGATGCTGATCTCCTGCCGCACGTTCTCCTTCTCCTTCTGTGAGAAAGCTTTGATGAACTTCCCTGCCCACACCTTTTTGGTTGACTTCTCAACCACTTTGAAGACCTGGCCGAATTTACCCCTGAGATGAATGAGAGAGAAGTAAAAGGAAACAGTTGAAAGAAATGCATCAGAAATAGATCTTAGGGACAAACTGGTGAGTGGAATTGTGTCTTACGTGCCCAAACGATCCTCCACATCATAGAAATCCTTTACACTGCAGTCTTTCTTTATAACCACATCCCTGTACTCGGGATCTTTGTCTGAATCTGAGAAGTTAAGAGATATGTGAGAAAAGAAAGATATATGATGGATGTCTTTTTTTTAGGTATGACTTGATATGGTCAGTGCTTAAACCACTGCATGTCTCATTGCAAAGTTAGTCCTGGATTTCGTGCAGCACACAAATCGTTTAATAAAAATATTTCCACAAATGGATTACTGAGTGGGCCAGTGGAGTCCCAAAGGCCTCTGACTGCCAGGGGCCTCAGAGGGCCTCAGGCCAGGTCTGAGATGGCTCAAAGACTGCCCTAATGATTAATAAATAAATGAAAAAAAAGCCCACTATATTAAAAATAGGCAACACTTGACTTGAACCCTGCCACATAACATTGACATAACTATGCTATAAACATATTATATGCTGTCAGGAGCTGTCATGACAGATTTTGTCAGGTAATATAACAGTCTCATGTTAACATTACCAGTAACTGTCATGTTTGATGTCATGACAGTTTATTGTCAGATGATTATTTTTGCTGTGTACTCTAGATAGCCGTCATGACATCAAACATTATGACATAAATCATACAATACCATGAACGCGTTATGGCAGATGTCATACGCTTTATGAGCTGTCATGACAGATTGAGTCCAGTAATATTACAGTGTCATATTACCATTACTGATAATTGTCATGACATCAAACATTATGACATCAATCATGACAATTATCAGTAATTGTAATATGACACTGTAATATTACTGGACTCAATCTGTCATGACAGCTCATAAAGCGTATGACATCTGCCATAACATGTTTATGGTATGGTTATGTCAATGTTATGTATTAGGGGTCAAGTAAAGTGTTACCTTAAAATGATCAAACACCACTGCAGATCAATCGAACACCATATATATATATATATATATATATATATATTTATATATGTGTGTGTGTGTGTGTGTGTGTATATACATAAATGTGCAGGAAATATTAGGCTAATGCATACATACATACATACATCATCTAAACCGCTTATCCTTCTGGGTGGCTAATGCATATTGATTAAGAATTAATAATCAATCCAATCCGATTCTGTTCAAAGCACACATAAACGACTTTACTTCTAAGTTTTGTTTATTGAGCTAATTGAGGTCAAGATCTTATGAATCCATCGTCTGTAACTGCATGTATCAAGAAAATGTCTTGAGGGATTGTGTTATATTTTTGCCATATTACCCACCCATAGATTAGCATTTCCCAACAAATGGTCCTAAAGTACCCCTGCCCTGCATATTTTAGTGTTTTCCCTGTTCTAATGCACCTGATCCAACTAATCATAATTAAGGATCATAATTAAGGATCATTAAGCCCTTCCTGTGTTGAAGTGGCGGTTGTGAGCAAGAAGAACTCAAAAATATCTGTGGTGGGGTTCCTCTAGGACCAGAGCTGAAAACCACTGGTGATAGATGAATGGATATGTGGATGGATGAGTTGAAAGGTGGATGAATTTCAGAAATGATGGATTTCAGGTAGACAAACTGACTCAAATGCATACCATCATCGGATACTGCCGCCTCAGCTTCCTCTTCTTTTTTTTCTAGGGAGGGAAATTAGTGCACGTAGTTAGTTCCCTTGTTAAGCTGCAATGAAGTCCCTTGACTACACATAATTCTCAGGAGAAGAAGCCTCATTAGATGTCACTATCTATCACTATGTTGTCTCTCACCTGGCTCCACTTGTACTCCCACTGTGACCGGTTCTGACTCGGCACTGGGTTCGCCGATACCGTACATGTTAACCGCCCGCACACGGAACTTGTACTGCCGGTCTGAGAGTAGCTCCTGGATGTGGTAGGAGGTGCTGTTACAGGAAGTGAGTGCGCTCCACTTGTCATTCACAGAGTTCCAGATCTCAAGATTGTACGACTGGACGATGCTGCCGCCATCGTAAGTTGGTCCGTACCAGGAGAGGGTGAGTGAAGACCTGCGGATATCTGAGGCGGCTGGGACCCCAGCTGGTGGATCGGGCTTGTCTGAGGCAGAGAAATGCAATGGTTACAGCACAATAGCAGACAGTGTTGAGGCATTTTTTGTGGTTGGAAACTCTCAGGGCCTTTGAAGTTTAAGATTTCTGTGAAATAAAAAAATACATCTGTAATTTAGTTCATTTTTATTTATTACAATCATCATATTTACTGAATTTAAATTCTGCTGGCTAAGTAGTAGTACTTTTATTGTTGAACTTTGGTTGAAAACAAAAGGGTTTCTCTGTAATATCTACATAGGTACAGCCAAACAAGGTCTCCCATTGATTAGGCCTTCAGGAGCTGGAAAGAAGGCCTTACACACCAGATTAACCATAATTAAAAAGTGACAGTGGAATCATCATTCAATCTTGTTTTGGTTTATAATGGGTTGGACCAATTTAAAAACATTTTACCCTGGGCTTTCTGGAAGTCCTACATCACTGAGAGCAAATACAAGCGGTAGTTTGAACGTATGTTTCAGTCAGCTATTCGAATAGGAAAACAGTGGCAATAGCATCAGAAAGGTAAAATATATGTTAATGTCTGTTAGAAGCTTCAAATAAAAGATGAATTGTCTTTTATAAGCTTTAATCTAGAGTGTTTAATCTAGAATGACCAGAAAAATTGCAGTTAATTCAGTACTAACTACTAGAATCCCATAGGGGTGCTAGCAGACTGTTGCTGTTAAGGTGCTTTTACCTCCTTTTTGACAGAGTAGTGACATCTATGCCCAGAACTGGTGGCCTAACTCATAAAGTTGCAGTTTGCCATAGAATATTGGTCTCAGTAATTTTTAAGGTGCGTTCTTGAGCTTTATGAGAGATTATTTTGAGGGATTATTATGATGTGTTAAACGAATTAAATTAGATTTATTAGGCCACATTTTACATTTCTTGGGCATTTTTGGGGGCACTAGATGATTTCTGAGCTTGGTAGCAAAGCAGCTTTTGCTGAGACATTAAATGCTGGGGATTTAAAGGTGGATCTCATGCAGAATCCATTGTGGCAGTGGTTCCTATTCCTTCTCATGAGTATCAATGCCCATGCATATTTTGGTGTTTTCCCTGCTCTAACAGGCCTAATTGAAATAATGAGCTAATGAACAAGCCTTTCCAGAGTCAAAGGGGGCATAGTGCAAGGAAAACGATAAAGATATGCAGTGCAGGGGCATTCCAGGTCCAGGATTTGGAGCCACTGCATTATGGAGTATCTGATTCCTCCTGATCTTCATTTAGAGTACCAACCCCTGGTATTGTGTACTCACACAAAATAGGCTAGCAGTAATGCCTACAGTCAGTTTCTCCCTTTCTTTAAAACAAAACAACGATACCAAAAAGCAGGGGTTAATTCATGAATAACTCACATATTCACAGTGTGCTTTTTATACTGGCTTAGAACTTTACCCTCGTTTTCGCAACCTCTCTCATATTACAGTCACCCCTATCTTATTATTAAGGGTCTTATCTCAGACTAATTTGCTTTGCCTGGCTATGGAGAGCCTCAGGGAAGGTTGGCTAAATTCCTGCAGACTGACGTCACGATAATCACAAATTAAATTATTGAATTTGCATGGTTAGCTCCTCTAAATAATAGGACCACAGATGGCTGCAGCTCTTGGTTGTGGTTTATGTGTATGCTCATAGGTGGGCCATCGAGTCGCCTTGTGGTAGAATAAAAGGTATCTCGAGAGACGACATCAACGTTCAACATTTGTTTCACTGTCCCATTTTTGAGTTTGTCCAAAGATTTAGTGAGTCTGAATTCACAAGTGTGATCACAGTATATCATATGGAGGGCAATTCCAACAAGGGCAAGAACCTCTCTCTCTCTCCCTCTCTCTCTCTCTCTCTCTATCCCCACTCTTTCCCCTTTTTTCTCTCCCTCTCATTTCAGTGACAGTGCCCTCATTAGGCCAGCGTGTGTCATACCTACAACGGTGAGGTTGAGCGAGGCCTGCTTGGTGCCGTATTTGTTCTGCAACTCCAGCGTGTAGCAGCCACAGTGATCCTGGTCGCTGGCTGCAATCGTCAGCTGGCTGCTGTTCTCCTTGGTTTCTATGGTAACGCCTCCACTTCCTGCCTGGATCTGGAGCAGAGATAATGGCCAAATGACAGAATGTCATGAACAGTGATGGACAGAACAGCACTGTGGCAAGGTATTTTCACACTGCACCTCACCATTGTGAGAGTCTTCAGCCACGTGTAACAGACTACGATGAACAGTACAATACCTTTTAGTACTGTATACTGGTGGTCATAGTAGTAGTCGTAGCAGCACTATATTAGTACTATTACATATTAGTAATAGTCATATCATGAGCTGGGAATTCTCTCAGTAAGGTAAAGTAAATTCAAAGACCAACAGCATTCACTCTTTTATACTTTCCCCCTCTCCCTCTATGCCTATTCCTCTGTCCATCCCTTTTCTTTCTCTTCCTTTCCATTCTTACCGGTTTTTTAAACTTGAGCCAGGTGCATGTAATGGGTGCAGTGCCTCCAAAGCTACACAACAGCTCCACCTTCTCTCCTGCTCTGATCTTCAGATCTCCGGGGAACTGCAGAATCTGGGGAGGAGAACCTGCAGTGGGCAATAATGGGGGTTGCATTAAATACAACTTGGGAGGTGGGGTTGGGGGGTGTTTTAACATTCTTACCTTCACATAACCAACCCTAATTTCTTTCATTTCATGTCAAAATGGGCATTAATTTCAAGTTATTATTATTTTAGGGGATATTTCTAAGGACAGTAAATATAAGACAATTCACAGGAGGGAAGTCAAAGAAAAATAAGTGGAAAAAAACAGGAGTTTCCAAAAATTATTAATGAATATAAATAAAATGGGACTCCTAACAGCCGCGCCAAGTCCAGATAAACAGTATTTAAAGCTTTCATTTTTAAGACACTGGAGAAAATAAAGTTCCACTCTTGCTTCAGAGCTGAAAAAATCCACAGGTGTTTCTGTCCAGCCTACGGAAAGACAACTAAGTGAGTCTGAAAGGATGTGTAGCTGTCAAAAGGCCATTACTGAGAAAAGGAACTAGACAAAAAAAAAGAAGAAATCAAGAAAGAAGCTTCTGGTGTTCTCAGAACAACTGACTGGCCACTCCAGAACTCAGACCTCAACATCACTGAGTTTCAGTTTGTGTGGGGTTTTTTTTCTACTGTGAGAAGCAGAAAATGCAACCAACTTCTAAGACTGAACTTTGAAGGTGTGGAAAAATATCTCTGTACATTTCTTTGAAAAACTGAAGCATGTCTATTCTGAAAGAATAGAAGGTCTAATGGAAACTCTTTCGTGGACACACTCAATACTGAAACATACTCTCCTCTTTCCTGGCCCTGAGAAATGAGTAACTTGTACCTAATGACCATTTTGACTGGAAATTAAATAAACGAAGAGTTATCTTTTTTTGACTTTTGCACATTACTGTACATAATAGGACAGGATAGACATCCATTTGAAAACTTGTTCTATCCCCATACATATCCATGCTCTGTGGGATACAATTTCTATGTGGCAGCTAATCAGAGCACCATTCTTCAGTGTTCTTCTGAACATGTTGCCTTGTTTTCGGTTTCAGTGTGTCCCTTCCAAAGAAGGTTCGATGAGCCAGACTTCATAAGAACTCCAGACTTACCCTGTTTGGTGGGAGACTTTGGCGCTGGCTTCTTCTTTATTCTGGCTTCATCTGTATAATACACAGCGTTATCACAGAATAAATAAATGGCTTTCAGATGGCCAGTTTGGTTTATTTTACTTTGTGATTTAAATCTGGCATTGCACTACATGTAGAGCTTACATTTGAGCAGATCAATTGCAAAACAAGTTTAAAGGGAAATCTAGACATAAATAAAGCCCATGATGCATCAAGTGGATGTCAAACACAGAGACATATTTAAGGAGGGAGCTATGTTAAAAAAAAAACCTAAAGAATTGGAACTTGCTTCTAAACATGGTGACCTGAAGGGCTGATCTCGCTTCGAAGGCCGAACTTGAGTACGAACATCTGCATGTACCATTACATCTGACTGGGAAACTGGTCAGCGTTTATTTGTGAGCGCCTGGGAGAATGTGCAGGAGCTTCAGGGGAGGCTTGCCTTTCCGGATCAGCATCCCAGAGAGAAGGTCTGCCTTTGCGGACACCGCCTGCTGGAATTCCCCTTTTATGGGCATGCTAAAAATAGGGCCCCTAGGATCCAGGAAATGGCACTGGCCCTCTCTCCCCACTATTTATTCTAGGTTTGATAGCCGTCAAGAAACAATGCAACATATAAACCCCACTAATGCTCAGGCCCAGTCCGAAGACACAGGCAGGACTAGAGTCAGGCTTTAAGAGGCACTCAGCATGTGAGAAAACAGCTTTAAGCCATTTTAGGGCATTTGTTTCTGCTTCCATCTCCATCTTTTCAGTTTTTTTTTTTTCTAATGCACTCAGCTTGCTCCCATCGTTCTTTTTTCCATATGATCAGGTTACTTTGGTAGGCCTCGCTAGCTATGCTTGTGAAATCCTAGATGCTTGTGAGGCACGTACGCAAGTAGTGGATGAACGTTCCAAAACAATATGGCTCTTAATTATCAAGCGTTTTTCAAAACTACGAGCGCAGATCCAAGATCAGCTTCCTCTTGTGGGTGCAAATTGATTCCCAAGGATTTAATAGGCAATAACTGGTCTGGGATCTGCACTATTATTCTGAGAAGCTGGATAAACATGGCCCGAGTTTATTTCTACTCTTCCTCAAGCACACGGATTAAGCGCAAGGATATACTGTGACTGCTGCGTAAAAAGCCTGGAACAAAAACAATCAAGCAGACCAAAAGACCATCCCTTTAAAACGATCCACCAACACTTACTGACAGGTGAAGCAGACCTCCCCCCTCCCGCCCCCCCATCCCACCAGACAGGCACGCTGGGCCAGGCTGGCACTGTCCCATCTCCAGGCTCAAGGTTTCAAATAACAGATGTTTTTAAAAGGAAACCTGGATTAATGTCCACTCCGTGTCGCAAACCATGCCACTGTGGTGGAGCATCAAACGTGGATGGGATTTACTGTCTTTGTGATTGTTGGGCTGGTCAAGGTCCTGTGTTTGGACAGGAAGGCTCACCTGATCCAATAGGATCATTGGATTGCAGTGCATACTTATCTCACAACCACGGACAGGAAGATTAAATATCAAAACATTTCATCTACACTTAGAAATAAAGGGTAAGAAATATATGGGTTATAGCAACAAAACCACAGCTTCTGTACTCACTCTCTGTTGTTGGTGCTGATGATGAGCTTTTCCTGTTTTTCTTTTCTGCTGATGGATCTGAGGGATCTATAAAAAGAAATACAGCATACAGTCATCATCTCCTGGTGACAGTGTAGCAGCCGTTAGTTCATAGTTTTCATGTCTATGTAATATGATATAATGCTGTGTAAATGTTTGTTTATAAGTAGAGGTTGTTGACCTCTTTGGTGGACCATACCATCCACTTGGACCATACAGGAACATTCGGCCTTTCCGTCTGCGTTCTCTGCTTTGCATGTATAGCGCCCTTCATCCTCTGGAAGAGCCTTGTCTATGGTGAGTGAGCATTTGCCTCCTGGGATTGAAAAGAGGAGGCGAGAGATTAGCAACACCTTATACACAGCTGCATGAATTATTAATGAAATAGCCTCTTCCAGCCTTTCTATTCGACACATTGACACTCAAAACATGAGTGGACTGACATGAAAATATTGGATTCTATCGAGTTTATGTAGATGACTACTTAAGCTCACCCCTGTTCAGCCAACATTCTGTCAGAACAGCAATAGATATAATATTCATCCACAATATATGGGTGTACCCTAACCACTGGACAAAGCAACAACACAGGGTCCCCCTAAATTCCTGCTGAGACCCAAGCTTGGGAAATCCTCCACTGCTATTCCAGAACTTTCTAATTGTGCCTGAGTGACTGAGCACATCGACCCCTTTACGCCGGAACAAAGGGGCAGTTTTTGAGCCCCTGGATCGGATGACTCGTCCAGTGTGAGCTCAAAGAGCTGAAATAACAGTACTAACTGGGAGCTGCAGTCACCCATGTGAAGTCCAATCCCTGCTTTATGAGCTTGAGGCTCTCTCTCTGATCTACAGCCTGTCAGAGGAGGGAGCAGTGGGGTGGGGAGTGTTTGAAAACACAGTTTAATCTTGACAGGCCCATTCAGTAACTCATCAGATCATGAACATGAGGCCAAAGGAGACTACACTGCATAATATTTTTCCTTTTGAGATGGAGAACTTCTACAGCTGAACTGATGGACAGAAAATCGTTCAACAGAATGTTTACATGGTGAAGCAAAATGTACTCAAAATGTAAATTATTGTAGAAGTAGATATACTATAACCAATATACACGTTTTAAATTAAGCAAGGAGAAGAGGACATGATCCCTTGCCTCATACCTTCCTGAGATAATACAATGAATTTTGATGGCTTCACAACTTTCCCATCCAGGGACCAGGTGATGACAGCCGGTGGGTCAGAGGTCACCGTGCACTCTAACCTCAGCCTTTCTCCATCCACAACAGTGACATCATTCAGAGTCTGTGTGAACGAGGGCGCTTTGCCAGAGCCCTTCTTTCCTCCGTCTCCTCCATCCACAGAGTTGGGCACGCTCTTCTTTTCTGCCAAACTCCCGTCCACGTTGGTACCCTTCTTCTGATTGACGCCTCCGTCCACAGTTTTGTTCTTTGATTCCGCTATCCCAGCATCTGTCTTCTTCTCGGGGCTCGGCTTCTCTGCTGGGATGATTTTCTTTTCTGCAGTCCCTCCTGCAGTCTTTTTCTCTGTCCCTCCTTTTTCTACTAGGCTGGTCTTTTTGTTGTCCACTGTCCCGTTCATGCCGTTGATTCCGCTTTGTTTGTCCTGTTTGGCGACTGCTGGTGTAGGAACCGGCTGTTTCGCGCCAGCCTTCTCGGGTTCCGGGGTCTTCTTCTTATTGAGAATGGACCTGAAGTCTGCGGGTGCGCTGCTGGGAGCCGGCTCAGCTGGAGCAGGTTTGGGCGAGCCGCCCTCCTTCTTTCCCAACACCGACCTGAAGTCCACCTTGGTCGGGGTGTTCGTCTTGATCTCTGACCCCAGCTTAGGCCCCGACCGGGGCTTGAGGGCCGCCCTGAAGTCCATCTGTCCTCCTCAGCGAAGCTGGAATAACTTCTGAAAGCTGCCGCTCTCTTAGCCCTCTGACTTAAGAGTTCCCAGGATCTCCACGGACCTCTTCTTGCGTATTCTCTTCCTCCCCTGTGGCGAGGCGTCTTTAGGGAGGGGGTCCTAGTTATTAAGTCACTATGTGGAGGTCCTGCTCCTTCTGCGGCTCCCAGCCTCTCTGCTCGAGCCACTCCTGGCACAGACGCCCTGGACTAGAGCGAGGGAGGAGAGAAAGAGAGAGAAAGAAAGGGAGAGATTGAGGGGGATATAGAGAGGGAGGGAGAGGGCTTATTGAGGGGGGTGAATGGGAGGAGAAGGGATTGTTTAAAAGCTTAGTCTCCACTCTATAATAGGTTAATTGGAGACAGGGACACGGTTCATGTCTGCATGGCATCAGTGGGGACCTCAGCTGCCATATTAGGGAAACACTTCCAGTGCATGGGCACCCACGGTGCAGTGAGATAAACAGCCTGGGGAAGAGTGCAAGACCACCGGTTTGGGATCAGCATCCCAGTGGTACAGGAAAGAGATGTGGCCCTGGAGGATAGGATCAGGGACTGATCGAAAATCTGAGACAGGGATTTTCATGGGAATACTGGGCAACTTAAAGGGGAGAAAAAAAAAGTGGGCAAAATAGAAAACCTGCCAGTCATCATCGTAATCCAGCAGGCACTGAGAACATGGTCATAGATATGGACGCTGCTATGATAGAAAAAGAAGTGGGAATGCAGCAGAATAGATGAACTCAAAGCTCAAATAGGGAGAAAAAGGGAATGCAGCTAAGAATTCCTGAAAGCTTATTTGATGGTGAATGAGAGAGAGAGAGAGAGAGAGAGAGAGAGAGAGAGAGAGAGAGAGAGAGAAAGAGTGAAGGGGAAGATTTGAGAACCATGTTCTCTCTGTGCTTGGACAGAAACCAGCAGAGAAGTGTTCTGGATTTTCCGTGGGTGTTTGTTTGGATGTGCCTAACCTGTTGACCTCTCCATAAACGGGAGCCCCTCATTGGGCTATTTGGAGACGCATTCCACCAATCAGCATCGAGTCGCATGTCTCCCACAGTTTATGTTAAAATGTTACATCGGCTGCCTTATATGGCCATAAACATCTTGGTTACTCTCCTGCTCAGTGCATGTGCCTGAGTGTGTGTGTATGCGAAAGGACTCGGAGAGGACACGACGAGAGTGTGTGTTAGAGTCAGTCTCTCGGCTCAGTGCTGTTATTGCTTTGACAAGTGGTTAGTAAATGTACGCTGTTGCAGAAATGAAAGGAACGCCTCATTACTCAGACGGTAAATTGGATAGGGATTTAAACTAGATCAGGGATGCCTCTTCTGGGACTTTTGTATATGAACTGTAATCTGACGCTTTTCTTTCTAATCTGCTGATGAAACCTAGCAAATCAATTCCTTTTCATTGTATTTGTTTAACTAAGTTGTACTACAATGTCATAAAGAAATTAAAACTTCTACAGTGTCACGTCTGCCTGAATGTAATGTGAACAGGTCTACTTTCCAGTTATTTGATTTGGCAAGTTATGCACAGTGTAATTTGATCGTATATTAGGTTTATGAGAACATAATCTGATTGAGGATGGGAGTAATATACTGCTGTGCTTTGTTTGACTCATAATTCTTTCATCATCCTTTCCTATTGTATTGTATTGCATTCTACGCTCGAATGACTCCTGTCATGCCAAAGTTATCACGCCATATTCTTTGGAATAACACATAATATGCAGTACTGGGTAAAAGTCAGAGACTGCCCTTTCGTTTATTTATTTTCTGACCATTAACTACAAGTTATTCATGTTTTAGTGTCAGAAAAAGAGCAGAAAACATATATTTACCGGAAAATTACACAGAAATCTCAAGCGACTACATATAATACCCAATTTTTCAGTATTTGTGAGGGTGTCCGCTCTTTGTGTTTGTTACAGCTTCTTCTTGTGGGAGATTTGCTTTCAAAGAAATCTGCAGAGATATTTTTCTACACCTCCAAAGTTCAGTCTTAGAAGTTGCGTTTTCTGACTCTCACAATCCAAGTAATCCTGAACAGATTCAATGATGTTGAGGTCTGGGATCTGGGGTGGACAGTCCATTGTTCTGAGAGCACCAGCAGCTTCTTTGATTTGAAAAAAAAATCTTCTTTAATTTCTCAGGTCTTCTTGACAGCTACACATCCTATCCGATTTACAGTATTGAGTCTCACAGTGGAAGGATGGACAGAAACACCTGCGGATTTTTTTTCAGATCTGAAGCAGCTTGATGTTCTCCTCTCTCTCAAAGATGAAAGCTTTAAGTGCTGTTTATCTGATAGGGACAGTTTTGGTGTCTACCAGGTCATGCGTGGTTGTTATCTTTTTTATATCATTTTTTGATCTCTAGTTTTGGAAACTCCTGTTTTTTTCTTTAAATGTTTCCTTCATCTTTATCCCTTTAATGTCCTCACCAAGACAAAAGCAATGGATTTTTTATGTGTTTTTTTATTTGTTTGGGGCAATAATAAGAACAATTGGTGTGTGTGTTTTTTTTTTTCATTTTTTTGACCCCACAGTTTTTAAAATATTCATGTCTACCAAACTCTCAAAATGGCACTTTGTGGCAAAATCAGAACATATATAGTGACTCAAAATGTGCTCTACTAACATTAAAGGGATTAAACAAGTAAAAATCTTCTATATAATCTTCTTAAAAATACCTCCTGAAAAGTTAATAACTGCTACTTAATGGATGTTTTAACTGGTAATTAAATACATTAAGGGTGGTCTCTGACTTTTGCACAGCACTGAATGATTCACGGAAAAACCTTTAGCTGGCATAGAACCTGTACTTTATGTGGAAGGTTCTTTAAGCATAAAAAAAAGCTTCTTCACACTCACACATCTCATCCACTGAAACACTCTATTAATAATTTTTTGCATTCTGATTTTGGAGATTCCTGGATTTCACCTGTTTTCCTGTGGCTTTCCCATTCCTTATGCAAATGATTGTATATCTAATCTCCTCAGAAATATCTCCTGAAAAATGAGCATCCTGTATTGGCCCTTTTGACTGGAAATGAAATAAATGAAGAGTGATCAATACTGCATGTTATAATAATTTAGAATACTTATTTCTTTGTATTAAATATGTTTTATTTAATTGTTTTCTAGTATAGTTGTTTCTAGATGTTTGCTCTCTCCGTCTCTTACCCATGGTAAGGCCAGCCCTTCTAAAATGCCCTGATTGCCTAAAAGTACTTGATTGTCCAGCTGTTTGTTAACACTACCGTCCATACAGTCTGCTTGGTAAAACCTTTACCCAGTTCAGCTCTATTTTTTAGAGAGTATCTTTGCGTCTCGGCGCAGGAACACTATCCAGACATATTAGGAGCAAACAGACGGTGTGTGTCTCATTTTTCACTGTCACACAATGCGCATTTTCCTCAGGCTTTTAGGCAGAGCCACTCCAGAGTGCGCATCTATCTTGGCCTGTGATCTGGGCATACACAAGTTCTATTACTATGAGGTGTTCAGTATGTAACATAGTTTTAAACAGACTCTGTGTGCTAAATAAAGCAAAGCTTTGGAAAAGACTGTACATTATCCGTGACCCTGATGCAGTTCGTTCTTTTCTGGAGGCTCATGTTATTCGTGCTCTTTTCTCAAAGACAAATAGGCTCAACCTATAACTACGTTCTCATTAAACTACCACTTAGACTGCTTTAAAACTGAGCATACTCATAAGACACAATCTTGTGGCTTAAATTTGTTCGACCTGTTCAGCTGAAATGGACGAGTGACATTTACTGCCATTCCAGACATCACAGCCCAGGCTTTAAAATCTCTATCTGAAAGATTTAAAATGTGCTATCATTAGATCCAACCCATCTCGGGCTGATTGTCACGGTCCGTAGGCAGCTCCCTGGGCCGGAGGAAAAGCAGGGGAAAATGAAGAGCAACTGACTGCACAAAGCATGACAGGAATGTTCCAGAACAGGGAAGAGGCCGGGGGGAGCCGGTTAACCTGTTACATCTGATTAGAGTAGCCTGCAGGCCTGATTACTAGCACTATGCATGAATGTGTGTTCCAATGCGTGTGCGTTTGAGTGTTTGTTTGCTTTGGAGGCGGTGAATGCTTCTCATTTTAGTCCAAGAGAGGCCTTACCAAGATACATATTTGATTTTCCATCACTGACGGAAATTTATGTCTGACTAACGCTGAGAAAATTAGAGTTAATGTGCACATAAATCCATACTGATCCATCTCTTCCTTTTGGAATTCTCTCTCAGATGCTTCGGTGATCCTTTGCTTCTCTGGGGCTTCACAATCACTTGGCGCCCGGCCCACAATCTGCACTGAAGTCACAGTCACAACCTGAAACGGGACAGGATTAGAATAAGAATACTGAATATGACAGCATGTAAAAAATGTATTCGACCAGCCAAGATATGAAGATTGCTTCTTTTGTTTTACACTTGAGCTAAGAGGCTAATGCAGCTAACAAGTAATGGAAGCTTATAATCCTAGTTTATACTGTAGCATCATGAAAACTGAAAGCTTAAATCCTCACACGCTTTCCTCAAACCTCCTTGAGTTGTTCAGTTATCTCAAATGGACTTGCTTGAGAAATATTTGCTGTAATGTAGCCACACAGAAGGGCTTGAACTGCCTGTTTAAGGTGCTGCCACAGCATCTCAATGGGGTTCAAGTCAGGACTTTGACAAGGCTGCTCCAAAACCATAGCTTTGTTTCTTTAAACCTCTTAAATGGCCAGGACTGCTGTTTTATTACACACTTCTATAACCTACGAATAGCTCAGCTAGTTTGTATTGAGGTCCCTGTACTCACTGATTAATAAGCCATAGTATGTAATAAACCTGGCATTTTAAGGAGCTAAGCCATTCAAACGTGGACTAACACATGCTTCAGATTGTTGTCTTGCTACATAACCCAACTGCGCTTCAGCTTCAGATCATGGACTGATGACTGGACATTCTCCTGCAGGATTTCCTGGTAGACAGCAGAATTCATACTGCAACCATTTATGGCAGGTTGCTCAGGCCCTGAAGCAGCAAAGCATCCCCACACCATCACACTACCGCCACCATGTTTGACTGCTGGTATGATGTTCTTATTGTGGAATGTTGTGTTAGCTTTACACTGGATGTAAAGTTGGCCAAAAAGTTCCACTTTCAACTCATCAGTCCACAGAACATTACTACAAAAGGCTTGAGAGTCATCAAGATGTTTTCAGGAAAACATGACACCCACGTTT